ATTGTTTTGTTAATCTACAATTCGTATGTCCACTTTTTGTTTCAATGGATACAATTATAATCATATTCCCGTGGGGGTATTCCCTATATATATAAATTCATTCTCAGTTTATATTCCATATATGTGTTCGAAATGAATGTGGACGATGCATTGAATGTTGACGATGAATTCTCGGAATCAGATGAGATCGAGTTGGATGGAGAACAAGTGATCCGAATCCAATATAGTGTCGACAGTTTGCAGTTTCTCAACGGGTGGTCACAAGACTATGTCTGCCTTATTCAACATTATTATCGAATAACCATGTTGGAAGAAGAAAAATTTTGTACGAGCTGTTACTTCGACACAGTGGCAGAATACCCAGAAACCAATATTGACAGTAAACAAGAGTCTTTACATATAACAAATTTTCCAGTACACCTGGTAGCATATAGGGATACTTGCTACATTTGTAGTGTTCCGATATATATATATTGTTTAACTAGATTTTGTCTATTGTGCAATAGCTGAAAGATTGATTTCCAATAAGATATATTTTCATTTGATACCATTTTTATGTTCCATCTGTGTCTAAGAGAGAATAATACAATTGAATTGTTATTTTTAATACTCGAAATTCCAATAAAATTTATTCTCAGTCATATTTTTCCATTCATTATAGTCTCCAACATACAGTATATTTTGTATGGTGTGAATATCACAATTATCGTTTGTCTTACTGAATAATCAATATACAGGGTGTACCTAAATAACACCGGAAAAATTCGAGATAGGTTTCCTTGTGACATTCTAGCAAATAAAGTTTATATAAACATGTGTCCCAACTTTCTACGTTTTTGAGATATAGGATGTTGAAGTTGGAAGTATTAATTGTTTTTATTTATAACCCCCCTGTATAAGCTTTCATGGTGCCAAAATTCAGTATAGATGGGGACAGAAAAAGTCCCAAAATTTCAAAATGATTCTAAATGGGATTATTGAGTAATCTCAATGGAAGTCTCGAAAACACCTACATTTAAATTTGGAGTGACAACGAATTCTTATTGTTTCCTCAAAAACCAAGCTAGATACAAAAATCACACAGAGAATGAAAAAGTTGTTATTTCGATAGTTCAATCTGATAAAAATATGAAACTCACAAAAACCGGTGGCGTACAATGACATTCACCATGAATATCGATAAATTTAACCTGTGTCACGCCACTGGCAAAATTATTTCGAATCCAATTGCATTAGAAGAAGCTCCATATTACTATTAACAAAACCACAACTTTTTATTGAAATTGATGATAAGACAATTGAGAAATGAATAGAAAAAAGATTTTTCATGAAAATATCAATACCCTGTATCTAGAAAACGAAGCCACTTAAGACACATGTTTATATGAACTTTATTTCCTGAAATATCACGAGGAATCACCCCTTGAATTTTTCCGGTGTTATTTAGGTACACCCTGTATAGTAGCTGGTGTCACCTCTTTTGAAAATAACCAAGCCTACAAAATTGTACAACTCACTCCCTCTGTTATAGAAACACTCGAATTGAACCAAACAAAAAGCCGCTCCCAACTTTGTTACAGAGATCATGAATAATTAACTATTAATTGGAGACATCTGGCCATGCATCTCTGGGTCAGTTAATTCAGTCAGTTTTCCGGTCGGCGATCGTAACATGAAATCATGTTTTTTTCGTATTGTTTCCATGAAAGAATTATTTCAGTATATCGAAATGTGAGAGAAAAGTGATGTTTTGTATTTCTTATGTGAATGAAAAAAAGTGTAATAGTTCTTTGTATCAAGATGGATTTGAAAGGATGTACCTATCGAAAGTGATAGAAAAGTGAGTATTTGAATATGTTCATACATCACACAGTTTATTTCTTCGAAACGTTCATTTACCAAATTCTACTAGTTAAGTAATGATTTTCAATCTCAAACACTTTGATTCAAAATAATTCCAGTAATGCAAAGTCATTTGTATTATAATTTTATTTGGTGAAAATACGAGTCATTCTAGTACCGTTCAGAGATCGCATACCAAAAAAACTAAAGTTTCAACAAATTCAGAAAGTATCAATCATAAAACATTTGAAAAATACAAATTACATGTTTTAGTTAAAATTTCCCTTATAATATCAACAAACTAATTACATTACTTTTCTGAGTTTTGTAGAAACAATTACAACTTCATCTAAATCTTTTATAACTTCACAAATCTTTCTAAGTTTTTTTTGATATTTCTTCTTCTTCTTCTCAAGCTTTTTCCTTATTTCTAGTTTCCTTTTCACTAATTCATCCATATCCCTCTGATTTTCTTTTCGTATATCAGCAAGGAAATCCGCGGTAGTATTGAGATCCCCATCTTGTATAGTATATTCTGAATCTTCGTTATCTGTTTCATTTTCCGCTTCAGACTTTTCTTCATCTCGTTCTTCAATTATTGAATTTCCACTTTCTGCTTTTTTCGTTTCACGGTCATCACCTTCCTTTTTAATGAAATTTGCATCCGTTTCTTCATCTCCTCCGTCATCTTGAACTTCTTCGTCATCCGACGAAACATCTGAGATGTCTTCAAATTCTGGCTGCACTAACACTTTTCCACGTCGAGGGGTTGATTCTGCTAATGGCCGAAACGGCATTGCTTTGTGATCACTAAATGAGCCGCTTACGAATTCGACACTCTGGTTTAATTGTGGTGAAATATTTCGAAACGTATCTGAGTTTTTGTCACGTTTGAGATACTGTAAAATATCAATTTTTTTCCTCTGAATTGGTACGGTCAAAACTTTTGTCTTCATTTTTTCAGTATCTGAGTTTTTTTTTAATTTGTTGAAACTTTAGTTTTCTTGGTATGCGATCTCTGAACGGTACTAGAATGACTTTGACTGCTTGTGCGAGTACTATTTATTTGTTCAGGGCTAATCCCCCATCAAGATCAAAACATTTACCAAACAACTCGCATCTTGCAAATTTACTGCACCATATGGGTACAATTACATATTCATTGTTTCAATTTTCCTATCAGTACGATTAATTTTTCGCTTCAAAAATTAAATCAACTGTAATGAGATAAAAAGGAATACATGACCTATCTTAACTGAAACTAAATGGGTCTAATTAACCATGAATAAAACATTCATTACTACCAATTCACCAAACTCGCATCTTGCAAATTTATTTCACCCCATTTTGATATCAGCGCGATTAATTTTTTTCGCCTACATATGTTGAACATCAGTTAAGACATGACCTATCCTAACTGAAACTGAATTGGACTAATTAACCATCTGCTGGTATATTAAAGATGATTATTCCACATGGCACAATTGTCTCATATTTGCGAAACTCGTTTCAATTTACCTTTTCGTTATACTCTCGCTAATAAGAATCACCATCACTTGCTGAATAATTTGCGAATTAAATCCTATTTGAAAATATTAACCCACTTTAAGCCATCTGTTGAAAAATAATTATTTCAATGAACGTCATGAACGTCTCATGAAAAGCCTTCGCGTTAGTTATTTGTGGAAAGAATAAATATTTCTGCTTTCTTATGAAAAGTTGAATAGGTAGATGCAATATTGAAGATTTTTTTCTTGGGGCGTACAAAAGTAATCCCTATAATATTCGAAGAACATCGTGCTAGGGAAAGGAGGTAGGTATTGTGATTTTTTAGCTTTTGGAAGTTCTTGGCAAATTATTGCCTATAGATAAACGAGTTTTGGTAGAGTGTTGTTCGACATATTTGAATGGAAGGATGCGCTGACTGGGTTTGTCGGTCCTGGCTGTTATTGATAGTGATGAAATGATAGCACAGATATCCCGCGGAATATTGAAGAGTGATTAGTCTTAAATGAATTATATAACTCATTCTCGTATTTTCACGTACTTAATGATTAATTGAATGAAATGCTGTGATTGGCTGCCTGATACCGTGATGCCGGTAATGATTCTCTCAATATATATCGAGCGCTGTGATTGGTTGCCTGATGCCGTGATGCCGGTAATGATTCTCTCAATATATATCTACTGATATTATATTGTGTGAAAATATCATTTTAAATCCACTTTCTAGTAAGTAGGTACCTCTATCCACTAGGGCAAGAGATTTGTGAAATTTTGTAGTTTCCAGTTTAATTTTGTATTTATAATGATGATCATTTTGTTAAATCATACCTAATTTGTTATGTTCAGGAGAAATAATCAAATATCAGTAAATTGATAACTATAATTATGGTGAAATTACTACATAGATGTAAAAAAATATACCTATACTAATCATCAGTGTTGATTAATGTCAATCACCTCTATGTGTCTGGCAGTATATTTGTGAGATATGTGAGAAATAAAATGAACTTTTTCCATAAAAATTATGTGTTATTAATAATTTATCGGTAGGACTGGTCTGACATGCTGACGATCGTGTGTGTTGTAGACATTTTCAATCTATTAGCAGCATTAGCTTGTATTGCAGAAGTGGCAGAAGACAGAAGGAATTTTAATAAGGAATGACAACATTTCATAATGCTAACTATGTGAGATTACTATTTATCTGAAAAATCATATTTCCTAGTCTCTTGCTGCATTTTTTGTGCATTGTACAACAGCACAATGCGAAGGCATGCTTGAATTAATGAATAACGCAAGAAACACGATTCGTATGCCAAAATATTGTGAAAAACTATTTCAACCTTTTGATTCCTCTGTAACCAAATAAAAAAGTGAGGTTGTGTTTCAATAATTCACAGAAGAGTGAGGTTGTGTTTCAATATTTTGCCTCCAGGGTCGGTCATCGTGCACGCGACCTATAGGCCATCCATCGTGGATCACCCTGTATAGATAACATAGGATAATTTGAGAGTACCCATTGCATAATAATATTCCGCCAAAGAAAATGTGTTGGTCATTGAAAAAAGTTTCATTGGAGTGTGACTCATGAGGAGTGTTTTTTCTCCAAATTGGATGAAATGGATGATTGAAACATTCCCCCATGTTTCCAGGTCTCCAAGAGGTTCCATAAATTTAGTTTTCTCGAATTTCCTGAAGTCTGCCTTTGTGAGAACTGTACCCAAATCTACCTCACCACCTCTCAGGAGCCATGCTGAGGATGAACACACTTGCAGCCTGAAACGCCCTAGGTCAGACGGTGATGTAGATCCTAATCAGGACAAAAAATTGAAAAGATCCGATGCCACCAACAAGGTAGAACAATCTAGCATTATCACTAACAGTTTTTCCAACACCCCCAAGAGGCAGGTCTTCGGCAAAAACATCAGTAGGAACATAAAAAACGATAGTTCTAGCTCTAGTCCCTTGTTCTATGGTTTCGAGAATTCTCCCGCTAAAAACAATGAGAAAATGGCGAAGAAAAACGGTAAACTCGCTACCGAATCGGATGATTTGGAGCGGAAGCTGTTGCAGGAAAAATTAGACTTGGAGTTTGCTAAGAGACTCCAAGAAGATTTTGATAGGACCGAAGATACGAGGGGGGCACGTAGAGCAACTCGGAACGCGAAAAGACAGGCTACTCTGGAAGAAATTGTCAAACGACCACATAGGGTCAAGTGAGGATTTTTGTACATAGGAGGGTGATAAAGAAATGTTTTTCCAGTGTAACATGATGGTACAGGGTGCGCCTCTTGAAATGGAAACCCCCTCTTAACTCTTTTGTTTTCAGAGATGTGAAAAAATTTTGAATTATGTTGTTTCAAATGACCTAAACTTTTATTTCGTGAAGTTGCTTCATAAACAGGGTCATTCGTTTTTCCGGAAAGAACGTTAACTTTGATTTTTCCCTATATATATAGCCTTTTTTTCAGATTCCAATAATGTAGTACAGGGTGAGTCAATAGTGTGTTCTTCTATTTTAGCCAAACCATCAGATATATAGAAAAAATTCAAATACAACAGTTATAGGGTTTTTTATAGGGTATTTTCATATCTATAGGGTGTTCGAACATCCTATAGATATGAAAATAATTTTAGGTAATAGCTCTCATAAAATTCTATAACTGTTCTATTCGAATTTTTTTTATATACCTGACGGTTTGGCTAATATCGAAGGAGAACACATTATTGACTCACCCTGTATAGTGTTCCATTGAAAAAATCGAAGTTCATGTCTTTTCCGGAAAAACTAATGACCCTGTATATTAAACGATTTAACGAAATGAAAGTTTGGGTCGTTTCAAAGAATTTTTTCATTCAACATTTTTTTCATATCTCTGAAGAAAAAAAAAGTGAAGGGGGGGGGTCCATTTTAAGAGGCGCACCCTGTACATACTACATGCTGTCTTTTTTTCTGAATTAGGGGAAATTGTTCTATACAATTTTATTTGTTTTTTCTAGCTTCTTTTCTTTGCTGATTTTCAGGAATATTCATATTTTTGCTTTATCAAAAGCTTGATAAGATACAAACTTTTATTTTTTTTGTGTACTGGATTTCCACCCCCCCCCCTTAACTCTTATTTTTGACACACAGTCGATACATTCCCTTCCCCAAGAGATAAAAAATATACAGGGTGTTCCTTTATTGAACCGGTCAAAGTGTGCCGTTTAAATTAAAGAGCAGTTCTTATAGCATTTTGTCTGATCTTTCTGAATCTGATGGAATTTTTCGTGAAAAGTGGTCACAAAGTGAACATTTTTGACATAACAATGAAATATAAAATTTTCCCAAGTCCGGACCTGGATATTATTTTTCATAATATGTTATCTAGAGAAGTTTCAGTAGAGATACGTCGCTGTCAAATTTTAGCAGATTACGACGAATCATTTCTGTTTTATCGACCATCAAAGTTATATAGCAATTTCACATAATACCCTGTAACTTCGTCATGGAGGGTCAAAAAATGTTTTCATATATGTATATACATCAACTCGTCTTGATTTTCCCTATCAACCATTTGTCTATGTGAGCCTTCTCATGAAACACCCTGTATATTATTCAATGATCTTATCTCTCATGTTATTGAACGGAGAAATTTTAATCAAACTGTATTGGATTATTAACCCAAAATTTGGAAATTCCTTTCAGAATACTGTAAGCTTCAATTTTTTTAATTTTTTTTTTCATATTTTGGTTAGTGTCAAAACTTATGGTTTACCTCTTTTTATCAAGAATAAGTCCAATATATTTTTAGAATAATTATATTTTTGTTGTTCTATCAGTTGAGTGATGATTGAATTTAAATGGGGTTACCATAGGATTCCAGCATTAGCAGAATTATCTAAAATTCTAGTTCCCCCTGTTTTTAATTCATGCCATATTTACAGTTCCTTAGGAATGAATATACTGAAATAATATAAAATATTGAATTTTCTATTGTTGATGAAAAGGGAACAGAGCACAAAAAAATGGTCACATCAGTATTTTATGGCCTTGTGGATGAAAAAAAAAAGTTGTTAATATACACTATGAAGCAGTAATATTGTTATTTTAGCTGCTTACACGTTTTATCAAAAAATGTCACCTGCTCTATTATTTTTTTCGTTCTCCAAGCCTGAATATACTTCCAAAATATAAACCATCAGAGTTCAAATATATATTATCATTGATTTGTTGTAAAATCAATTCTCACTGTACAGCTATTCATTCAGATGATTTATTACTATTAAGGATCATAACTTAAAGTTATAAAAATGTGTAAAAATAACTAGATTTTTGTTGTATGTAGAAGAGTTTCATTCATTTCTAAATATCTGCTGTGATATAACAGCTGTTGTTTTATTTTTTGAATAAAAGTTCGCTTAAAAACCAACAAATCCTTTATTTGGAGCACCTAAGTTACTATACAATATCAATTTTGTTAAGCTCCCATCAGTTTGTCGTCTTCACTGAAGATTTTTTCTGAAACAAAAAAGATAATATGATAATTATTATGTCATGATTTATAAAATGTTCTATATATAATTTTTTCTACCACGGGAAAATGTTATACAGGGACTACAGGGTCTTCAAGAATAAGCAGTTTATTTCTATACACCCTATATTATATTCCAAAACTTTTTATATCATACTAGGATATGAAAAAATATTGTTGTCTGTACTGATATACAAATATTTGGAATAGAAATTACCAGGCAACCCAGATCATTTGTATCAGCCATCTACGTTGATTTGATTAGATATTTCAAATCTAGTACATCAATTTGGTGTACAAATAAAATCGGTTTAACAAAAAAGAGTATGAATTAAACGATATATCACAAGTTAATCTTGTGCATATGCTACTTTTGTTTGTCCAGTATATTTCATGTTAGTCATTACAAACTATCAATTCATACATCCCTTGTTTACCATTAGTATCAATTTCATCTTTCCTGGAAGACTATGAATGGCATTTCTCAATCCTATTGATCCACAAATACCATTGACATTTTTGGTAACCTTACATATATTGGACAAACACGCCGTAGCACTTGTACAAGATTTAAAGAACATATATTGGTATATCGTTGGGAAGGTGATTTTACGCTGAATTATCATGTATAATCGAGTTTACTACTGGTACCCAAACAAAATAGCAACGGAGATTCGAAGATACAGGGTGATACATTGGGCCTGGGTCACTATATATTGTGATATTTCAGTCTAATCAAGGAGAGGTTTCTAGACACCTTTAGGAACAGATTTTTATGGTTTGTTGTCGGTGTTTGGAGATTTTTATGAGGTTAGGTTAGGTCAGAGCATCGCAAAATGTGTCATTTGTTCTCTCAAACCTTCAATAATTTACTTTTCAATGCCACCTTCGTTTCTTAATCATTTAAATGGGCATTAGAATAGTTGATAAAGCGAGTTTTCAACATGAAAATGTACAGGGGCTCCAATGTAAATGAAGAAAAATACAGTGTTTTGAAGTGTGCCACTAAATTTTGCACACCCTGTGATGATTCGTGTCAGTCAAACTCAGTTAACGACCTTGTCAGGTCTTATTCAATTTGTATCTTTTATGATTTTTAATAACCAGACACTATATTTTTTGTTATTTTTTTCATTGACCAGTGGGGCAAAATCGATTTTTTCAGGTAATATCAGGCAATTTATAAGTATATGTGATCAACTGAAGATTAATAATATAGGTAATCATAATGATAAATTAGTGTCAAAACATTCAGTAGGTTATGAAATATTTCAGTAGATCAATATGCAAATCGGGAGATCTACTGAATGTTTAGTGGAACTGGCAACCGTGCAGCGGAAGAAAAGTTATTGTCTGTGGACGAGAAGTACTTGCCTTCGGAAATCGTCGGTTTTTCGTTCGGAAATTAGAATGTAAAATGTGATTTTTTTGTAGAGGTCGACTATTTTCATTAGAGACGAGGATAGAAAATCACAAAAATTCACAAAAATGACTGTTCCATAAGGTCTGTCTACACCCCCTTTTCGACCGTTCCTTGACTGAAGTCAACCAGATCAAAATATTTGTTGAAGATACCAAAGAATGTACGATTTCTCGATTTTTTTTCGACTCCGAATCAAGCAGCGCCACCAGCTTCGGTCTGCGACTGCGCCTCAGCCGAACCTCGCTCTTCCGCCTCCGAGTGGCCCAAACAAGCCCCAATCGGGCAATGGCACCCCTTCGCTAGCGCTTCGTCTCGCGACTCTCGCACCACGCTCAGGGCATCCCCCACTCTCTCGCCCTGATCGTTTTCGATTACCTGATCTTGCGTTTGCGCCTGTAGCTCCTCCCCATCTGAAACAAACGATGTAAGGGATGAGGTGACCGTTCGCCAGGCCTCGGAGAAGCTGGAGGGTAGCTTCGGCAGAGTAGGCAGCTCCAAGGGTGGGTCGTCTTTTTTCACTGGAAATACAAATGGTGGATTCGTGAGAAGGTGCTGAACGGCCATTTGTTTGAATAGGCCTTTTCATAATAAGTGTCTATTTAGTCAACTTTGTCTTCGTCTCAAGTCTCAGTCTCAGCTCTAGTCTCAGTCTATATCTTTGAGAATAAGGACATAACTATTTAAACAACTCATGATATTAGGACTTAGGACTTCGACAAATGACACAAATGACAGTGACAGAAATGTCAGACATAGAAACAAACTCTTTTCAATCTTCTAAATTTCATTTTTGATATGTTCTAAAGTGAAAAAAATGGATTGCTTCAATAATCAAGCATTAATCACAACCAGTTTGAATTCTTTGATTGTTGTCGTTTGTCAATAATGCCATGCACGCACTGAGCATGCGCACTGACGTCATGGTCTCAGTCCTAAGCATAAAAGTTGGAAATTGGGAACTCTCAAGGTCGCGTTTTTAGGACTGAGACTAAAGATGGTGACAAAAACTGTTGTGTGAATGCTCTTATGCGAATGTGTAGAATCAACTTGGTATGAGGACTAAAATTAGAACAAGGACTGAGACAAAGACAGAGTTGACTAAATAGACCCTTAGATGACAAATTACTATCTCTGTTTACATCTCGCATCCAACGACAGTGGCGGCCATTTTCTCCGAAACACTTACACCACAGTACCACACTCTTCAGTAACGAATAAGTAACGTTTTATGGAATTGAAGTATTATGATACAATTAATACACACCAGGAATATGAAAACAAAAATAATATGTTGTTATTGTTGTTTCTCAATGACGTATGTCCATGGTGGTTGAAACTGTTGACATTTGACAGAACGTTAATAATACCCGCCATATTCGAAATGACCAATCAGCATTTTGTGTTGGAACTATTATAGCTAATGAGACCTCACCTTCGTATTACCCAATACATTTTTGGATCTGAAAACGAGCGCATGCGTCTTAATAATATATCTAGATGAAAAGGCTAAAGGCAGATTTAGCAGACGCACAAACACAATTCATTTCATAACTGTAATTTTAATGTATAATTCATAAAAGTTAAACACTGTAGTCCATATGAGATGATTTATCCAACTCAAAAGTTCTAGTGCACAGTGCATAACATCTCATAATACATAACCCTGAAGTTCACAATTTTTAACTTTTATGCATTACACATTAAAGTTACACATTGTGCTTGTGCATTCGCTAAATCCGCCTTTATTCATTATTGCAAGATTGTTTTAACGATTGTCTTACAATAAAATTAGTGCTCAATTGACAGATTGATCTTGCTTGCAAAAGAAAATCAACTGATTTATTCGTATGATTTATAATATATATATATTTAATTTATAATAATAGAAGAACAATTATTGACAACTTGCAAATTGATTGCAGATCCGGTCAGTTTATTTAATGTTTGGCTTGATGAACATGAATAATATGGCCTAATGAACGTTGATTTCTCTCAGAACAGTTGTTCAAAAGGTCATACGAGTTAGGTTTTCCCGAGTTGTTTTACTTTTTCGCACTCAGTGCTCACGGCGTGCGGAAAAATGTAACTTTACGCACGGAAATGTATACAATATAGTAGGTACTTATTGTATACATTTCCGTGCGTAAAGTTACATTTTTCCGCACGCCCTTTGTTCAAAGATGTCCTACGCAAAAAGGAATAAACGATGTTTTAGGTTATTCGATTCTGCCAGAATACATCATATTCCAGAAATTATTGAAACGTTCCCAAGGAATGATGAAAAAATCAAGTCACGTTAGTCTCGTTAGCAAACCACGTTGACTTGATAATTATTTCACCTTGTATAGATGAGGCAACCTGCTGTCTAGTTTATCAATGATAGATCTGTAATTATATCACAATAATTGAGATACCAGAAATCTTAATAAAAATATTTTTTTAGATCATGATCAAGTCTCACTGATTATATCGTGAATGAGTTTAGATTCGTTCAAAACAACTTATTAAACCATTGAATAATGATAATGAAATCTATACTAGAATATAGGTATGAATATAAAAGGTATGACATACACACATATAACACCAGTCATCAAATACCCTGCGATAGGTTCATGTACTTATGAGTGAAGTGTTGCAGATCGTGGTGAAATCACCAAATAGAAAATTATATACAAAATACTGCATCAATATTTGAATAAGTACAAAAATGGGTATTTCGGCAACGAAGTTACCAAATATTTTGGTTCAATGAACATTATGTTATAGATCAAAAAGTTTGGAGCCAAGAATGGTTTCCGAACTATTTAATCCTTCTATTATTTGTTGCATGTTCTAGAAGTCCTAAAGTGATAGGGTTGAGAATATGTTGGGCAACATTTCATTTATCAAACCGATTATATCCAAAGTGAGCAATATGTTCTTTGAATCTTGTGCCAATGTTTCGACGTGTTTGCCCAACATATTTCAAGGTACAATCACTCTCACTAGTAATTTCTAAAGAGTATACTGAACTTCATTTGCTTTTCGGTTCAACTGTCGACTTTAATTCATAGAATCCAGAAAACTTCCTGGTTCAAGTTACAATCTTGGTTAAAGTACAGAATATTCTCCAGGAAAATACAGGGTCATGCGGGCTTTACTCAGGCTTGATTTTTTTTCCAATTGGGCTTATTTTGTCAAACTACCTATTTATAGGTACATCAAAAAGGAAGTCAATGCTGAACTAGATTGATTTATTCATTTGATAAAATATATCTTGATTCATTAATTCCAGTGCATTGATCAAGATGATGATAATAGAATTCTTCGAATAAGTGCATCAGCAGTGTTTAATTACTTGAAATGAAAACGAAACTGATTAGATAAATGTTCATTGAATTTTTTCGTTTTTTTTTTACAAAAATATATAACCGTTACCAAATCTGAAAAAGCCTCCAATATGAATTTTGGTGATAAGTGAGTGCATTGTTGAAATCAGTGTTGTAATCACTTTCCTATGGGGTATTCTCTAAGAGACAAATGCATCATACTAAAATGCTATTTCTTGATGAAAGAAAACCGAGCTGATGCTAGAAAGGAATATATAAGACAAAATCCCAGAGGAAAGATACCAGCTCAATCATATTTCAAGTATTTGAACGAGAAATTCATGGAAACAGGGAGTGTAATGAACATCAAAAGAAAAGTACCAATGCCCGAAAGGGAAACAAAAGAATTGAACGTCTTATTGTATTTTATTGAGCATCCTCGTAACTCTATAAGAGATGCAACGAGATATCTCGGTTATTCTTACTATTTCATCCAGCATACCTTGAAAATATACAAATATAAAGACTACAAGGTAAGACCGACCCAACTGCTAAAACCAAACGATGACATCAAACGCATGGTCTTCTGTCATTTCATGGACGAAATGCTCAACACCAACGAAATCGACTTTTTCGATATATTCTGGACAGACGAAGCAATTTTCACCCTGACTGGTATGTACAACCGAAAAAACACCCACTTTTGGGCATCTCAGAATCCTCGTCAGTATCAGCCAATCAAAAGGCGCGACAACAGGTCTATCCAAGTTTGGTGTGCAATTCACAACCACAAAATTATCGGTCCCATTTTCATCGATGGCAGTCTAACCAGCCAGCAATATCTAAATCTCCTGCGGAACCAGATAGAAGATAGAATCAACGAGATGCCCTTAGAGATAGCCCGCAAAATGATTTGGCAACAAGACGGTGCTTCTAGTCACTCTACAGGCGAAGTAGTTAGTTATTTGAATGAAAAGTACGACAGATGGATAGGGAGACAAGGCACTATCGCATGGCCTCCTAGGAGTCCAGACTTGACACCTTTGGATTTCTTTTTGTGGGGTACTTTGAAAGACCTAGTTTATAGAGACAGGTGTGGTGATTTGGAGGAACTGAAATTGAAAATAACTAGTGCAATTGACGATTTGAATGGAAATCCTGAGGTATTCCTCAATTTGAAGGAAAATTTCATGAAACGAATTAGGTTATGTTTAGAGCAAGATGGGCAGATTTTTGAACAATTTTTATGAACCGATAGAATTGGGGCAGGAATATTAGAAAAAAATCATTTGAGTTTTTATTTTTCCCACATACAAACACCTGGAAATAACAGGAAGTGTCTGACTATAAACATTCATAAATCATGGACTTTTCTCCATAATTTACTGAGCAAAATCTTTCCTAGGTTTTTATCAATATAACTATGAAAACTGTATCAAGTTTAATAATTGAAAACAATAACAGTCTTGATACTTGGCCATTTTTTCGTATTGAAAACTTAAGCTAACCTGCCGCAATTATAAAATTGACAGACATCATAATTGTGCAATGTCGCCATCTATTATAAGATCGCTGAAACTATTGTTCTGGAGAGGTCAAGAAGTTCTGAAACAAAAGCACATCAGCACCAAACATTATGTTAGGTGACATCAGTAAGTACACCATCATGATACTTGATACACCATCTACTTATTTCCATCATTGTCTTGATGTTGAATTAATAAATGCATCTTTCACTAGATGGCTCTGAAGGCTAGAATCGTCTTCGGCTTCCTGAAGTGCCTAAATCTTTCGAACCATTCCCATCAGGTGATATGTTGACATTCCTGTTTTTTATGATTGATTTTCACAATAAAATTGTGCAGGATGAGTTTGGTCAGTGTTTTATTCTGGTCCACTAACAGCATTGCGTCAGCCGTTACCGCCGATTCAGCCCACTGTGATCATTTGTATAGTGATTCAACCTTTCAAGGATGTTTTTCCTTCCTCTGGAGACCCTGAGTTTTTCTATGAGCAAATCGGCATGCATTCATAATGTATCACATGATTTACTGTGACCAATCTGACAATGAGGTTTGGGAATGGTTCGAAAACTATAGGCTCTTGTGTTCTTCCCCCCAATTATGTAGCTTTTTGAGAATTCATTCATGAATTTCATGATTGTCAGCTGTAACTGATGAGGCTTCAACAACCAAAACAGTCTGTCTTGAATCAGCTGACCTGACCAATGATTCAAAATTTGTCCTAGTCTCTCAAGCCTTGAGATTCTCAATAAATTGGTTCATTACATTATGAAAACATAAAAATGTAATCTAGGAACACAGTTACTTCTACTTTTAGAAAATTATAGATTACAATTATGGGCACCCCCAGGATTACTTTCAGGGAGGTGCATCAGCATCTACAATCTATAATATAGTAGATAATATATTATAGTAATATAATCCTTTCCCCTACATCATTTTGTTGAGAACTACTTACCTGCTGTGTATACATTTACTAACCTCCATAAACAAAGTTGTAAGCAATAGTTAGATACTTCTTGCCTTCAGTGAGCCCAATTTGGGAGTACTCTGTGGCTTGTTTTGGATAGCAGACAGCTCCCATGCCAAGAGCCCCAGTGGTAGCATAGAGTGTTTTTTTGAAGAGCCCACCACGCAATCCAAAAATCAAACCAGTCAGTGCTCCAATACCTACAGCACCTGCCTTTGGCATTGTATTGTCTTCTTCCCTCAGATAATCTACTAGCCCTAAAAATGCAATTATTTGCAGTATTCTATCCTAGATGTTCATGTCAGAATACTTACATTCTACATTCTCTTTACTTTTATCAAACTGTTCTACTGCCACTCTTTTATAAGCACTAATTTCATCTGAATATTTGGTAATAGTTTGTCTGGTTGTTCGGATAGCATTTTCTAGTGCACTTGGGGGTTCTTGTGGCTCATTTAATGGGGCCACTCTTGGTGGGTCCGAGGTGTATATGGGCAATTCGCTAGGTCTGCAAAAGCAGTCGTTTTTCTGTACTTCAGTTTTGATTTTGGACTCCACCACTACAGCAGCTGCTGGCAATAAAGCCTTTTTCACGACCTAAAAGGTAAGTGATTTATTTCTTTAACTATAAAGTTATGAACAATGAATTAACCTGCCCGAACATAATGTTATGTACTTTTGAAAACTAGAGCGAAGAGGGAAGATAGACAACAATTTTTTATTTTGTTACATAAAACTTGACAGGTCTTGATCTTGTTATTCTGGAAAAAATTATAAATGAAACAGAACACTGCTATGACTTGCAAGGTTGTGGCACCATCTGTCAGACTACTGACAATTGCACGGCACATACAGAAAACTTTAACTCACTGAGCATACTTACAGAAAACTTTATCTCACCCAACGTACTTACAGAAAACTTTAAAAATTTTCAATGCATGCAGATTTCTGTTTTATGTTGGTGTTAGTCGGCTAATCGCTTCGAACATTACCCCATAGATGGCGGTATAGACAAAAACTTCACAAGGTTGGTAGAAATGATGATTATTTTAAAACTTCATTCGCTTATTTCCTTATTTCAGTGTTATGATATTGAGGGACATTTTCTTGTTATTGAGGCAATTTGTAGGAAACTATGTGTTATAAAGAAGGGCCGACATCAAATTCCTGTTCTGCTATTGAATAGATCCTGCATACAAGTTTTTAACCAATTCTGCAACCCGAGCTTTATGAAAAACAAGGGATGTATGTTCTAGTACGTAATGTAAGCACAGGTTTTTTGATGAAGAATTAATAGCAATTTTATAGACCCCACTTCTGTTCTCATTTTTTCAATGCGAATATCTGGTAAACTAAGAGAGAAAGACGATAACTGATTCCAGATTCTTGTTCAGCACATCAAGAACAGCCTGTATACTAATTTTCAGCCCATTTCGGCGCCTCAAAATTTATGAAAAAAGTCCAAAGGGGTTAACCTTGTTTCATTTTCAGACTCAAAAATCAACTTTGTCGTAGGGCCTTCAAATTTGATATACAGGGTCTTTAAGGGATGCCCTAGTGCGGAGTAGAAGCACAGCTCTCTAGCTCCAATATAAAAAAAGTAGCTATTTTTGACCCGCTTTTCTTTCCTTGCGGTACCTTTGATAAAAAATGGCTCGATCTAGTATCCCAACTGACTGGAGATGGATGTCATGAAAACTAGTGAAATTTCGACGGAACTGAATATTGATTCAACTATTTTGCCCACGAAAAATAATTATTTGTCATCATTTCCGCGATCTTTCAGACATTTATTTTTATTAATTATTAATTAAATTAAAATGTTTGTATGGATGTATGTACTTGTTCGGGTAGAATCTTTGAACTCAATTTTGAAGTAGAAATCTTCAACCGATTCAGCTGAAATTTTGTATACACGTTCAGTTTGGATGACAATGCACGATAAGATGTGTCACGTTATTCTAAATCCAATATGGCGGACTTTCCAAGATGGCGGAATAGCTATTTTTGATATACTTTTACAATATGGGTATCAAATGAAAAGGCTCGTTGAGAGTAACTCGAAAAATGATGTGACGTCATTCCAAATCGAATATGGCGGACCATCCAAGATGGCGGAATGGTCATTTTTAATCTACTTCTACAATATGGGTATCAAATGAAAGGGCTCGTTGAGAGTGATTCGAGAAATAATGTGACGTTATTCTAAATCCAATATGGCGGACTATTCAAAATGGCGGAATAGCTATTTTTGATAAACTTTCACAATATGGGTATCAAATGAAAAGGTTCGTTGAGAGTAACTCGAAAAATGATGTGACGTCATTCTGAATCGAATATGGCGGACCATCCAAGATGGCGGAATGGTCATTTTTAATCTACTTCTACAATATGGGTATCAAATGAAAGGGCTCCCCAGATAGCACAAGACGTCTTTAAGATGTCTGAATTATATCCTATCTTAGTCTGTACGTCTTACTCCCTGAATAAGACGTCTACAAGATGTCATCATTCAGACGTTTTAAAGATATCTGATTCTCACGTCCTGAATACGTCTTAAAGACATCGTAATAATACAAATGAGCAATAATGATATTTGGTATATTATAATAAGTATTAATCATAATGACTTTTAGTGTGTCATATCTGAACGTTCTCCACTCTCAGAATTCTTGAATTCCACACTTATATAGTTATGGTTCTATTCTCATAATATGCGTTTAACTTTTAATAAAAAATATAGTATGATCATATTGATTCAGGCTAATAGAATATTTTCAATTTCATAATTCTCATAACTTCACCGTAATACATAGAGGTTATAGATTGTTCAGAGTAAGTTATTTTATAAATCGGGTGGGATGATTTGAAAATACCGCCATGTCAAACGAAAGAGAGATCGTTGCGCCAAAGCCAGAACGGCGAATGCCAGTACTATTTGATTGTTTACATTTTACATTGTTTGGTTTTGGTGATGGTGTTTATTGAGAGGTGTGTTTATGTTAATTGTTAATTTCGTTTTGAGTTCTCAATCAATCTCAGCTTTGATATTTGTGTATTTTTTAAATCCGTGTTTTCCAGTGGTTCATTGTGTTCTGATTGAGGACAATAATATCTCTGATGTTTAACAGTAGAACACCTACCTACCTCTAGTTGGAATGTTGAACCTAAAACCTATACCAACATAATGATAAGCTGTAAGTTTTTATCATTATTGAACAAGAATTCTTATGATTTGGCCATTTAGCCTGTGCATTTCAATCTGTCTACACTTTTTCAGTGATTCTGTCTCCAAAATGAAGCTGAGCTCATAAATGCGGGCCACCTGGTTTTGGCTGGTCAAATGGATGCAAATGATTGCATTGAAGTATAATAAGTATTATGCCTTATTATGTTTACAGTCCACTGTGTGTGTCAGGTAAGAAGAACTCTCCCTAATAATGATATTGGTAAACTCCTGAAACTCAACTCTATATCTTTCTTTTCAGGAAGAATGTGGGATCTTCCAGAGATATAAATATGCTTGGTTGACACAAAAAGCAATCAACAGAGGGACTAACACAATCAGTATTCCTGTAGATGAGATGCCTTGTTTTAAAAAAAAAATGAAGAGACCAGTTATATGAAACATAATGAATATTCTCAATTTTCCTATCACAAACAGGGTGGACCAGCAACTTCTTTTCTGGAAGTGTCAAACCTGTCCTTGGTAGTTGTACTTTTCAAATAAATGTCACAAATATCAACTATTTTTTTGTGTTGTATGTACCTACTTCAAATTCCACTTTAATTAATCCCCAGGGAACCCTGAAATCCATTCAGAAATGAGGTCTTTCTCATGTCTTTTCTATGCCTTTATAAGACTCAGAAGAGACATTATAAAGATATCTTAAAGACGTCGTGATTTTTAACATCCGGCCTATAGAAGACGTCTTTCAGACGTCTCTAAGGCGTCCATAGACGTCTTAAAGACGTTGTGAACGTCTGAGAACGATGTCTTTAGGATGTCTTAAAGATGTCTTTGTGCTATCTGGGTCGTTGAGAGTATTTAGAAAAATAATGTGACGTTATTCTAAATCCAATATGGCGGACCATCCAATATGATGGAATAGCTATTTTTAATATACTTCTACAATATGGGTATCAAATGAAGAGGCTCGTTGGGAGTAACTCGAAAAATGATGTGACGTCATTCTAAATTCATTATGGCGGACCATCCAAGATGGCGGAATGGTCATTTTCAATAATATACTTCTACTATATGGGTATCAAATGAAAAGGCTCGATAAGAGTAAATCGAAAAATCCAGCTAGCGATAACTAAAAATTGAAAAATTAATTGAAAGTAAAAAACTTTTTAATGAAAAGCTTTTATTCAAACGCTCTAAAAGGAAGAAGATAAAATATTTCTTAATAATTTAAACTATCAACTTATAACCTCATTATACACACAATTTATATGATCAATTTTTGATGAAATTACAAAAAATGGCTGCTCCAAGATGGCGGACAAGATTTGGTCCGATTCCATTCAAAATTGGTAACTGGGGGTTTTTGAGGTCGGAGATCATGATTTTTTTGTTAAAATTTATAAATTCAAGATGGCGGCTTCCAAATAATTTTTTGTTTTTGTATAAATGACGATAACTCCGTTGTTATCAACACAAAACTATTACTGCGACACATCATCTGTAAGGGAAAAAAAGTTATTTGTAACTAAGTCATAGTGAGCCTCTATGACCTTCATTTGAAATACTAAAGTTGGTTCTGATATCTCAAATTCTAGAAGAGTTGGTATAAATTTCATATCTTTTTTGAAATCGCTTTGAAAAACTGCCATGAGAATGTGAAATTCCTATTCGAATATTTTCATAAATACAGAAGTTACGGAGGAGACATGAAAATGATCGAAATCTGTTTTTTGCGTATAAAACAAAACGAATAGATTTCATCAAAATATTTTTTCACATTATAGTTGGCCTTGACAAACTCCACATTTGGTGTCATTCAACCTACCTCGTATATCTCACCGTTAAAAAGATACCCATGGTGAGCATGGTAAGTGGGACACACTGTATAGTAGAAGCGGCTACACTGCATTGTCGAAAATATTTTGAATAGAGAGAGCTAAAATATAAGCATTCACATTTTCATGGATTTCTCCCGACTAATTCTCGATATAAAGATAGTCGTGACATACCCTGTATAGAGATAAAACAATCGGACTTCGTATTTTTGTTCAGCCCATCGAGAACACCCTGTATGCTAATTTTCGGCATTCTGACGCCTCGAGTTGGATGAAAAATCTATGGAAAAAAGTTGTGTCTTTTTCAGACCCAAAAACAAATTTGTAGTAGGTCTTCAAATTTTGTATACCAGGGTCCTTTATAAGGTGTTCTAGTGCGGAGTAGCACCAACAGGAAAAAAGTACCAATTTATGCGAAACTGTATTGATTCACGTATTTTAACTACAAAAATTGATTCCCTGCCAATTTCAGCGACTTTTCAGACCTTTTTTTTCATTTTTGAATACGATCATCAGGAACTTATTTCAGATCACCCTGTGTTTAAGTTCTCAAGTAGGTGCCTACCTAGAAAATAATGAAGAAAATGTTCAAGCATTTTCAGATATTTCTCATTACCTCTATGTAAAGTAGATATTCATGTTTTTTCTTGATCAATTATTTTTATTGGCGATATAAATGGATGATTATTGACCTATTGTTTACAAAACATACATACTTATATACTATACCATCAAAGTGAAAATGTTAGTTTCAGGAACTATATCTCATGTGAGAAGAGACATTGGATTTAGTTGAGGTATGCACTTGCTTTCAATGAAAACTGTTACAGGGTGGTAAAAGTTCGAAAGCGTTTAATAATAAAGGAGTTCCATTTCCCAAACCAATCGTTGAACCCCTATTGGAACAAGTTCCATATCTGGAACGAGTTCCATATCACTTACCTCCCATAGAAACGTTCCAAATACTCAGGCGAACCTATGAAAATCATAAAATCTGCTCCGAAGCACGAACTGCCATGGAAACGAGTTCCAAAGTCAGTTGAAATCTCCTATGGAAGAGACTTCCAAATCGCTGAATTTTCGACTACTCCCCCCCCCAGGGCTTCGATTTGAGTTCCAAGTCAGTTTATCTTCTATAGGAACGAGTTCCAAATCTCCTATGGAAGAGAGTTTCGAATCGCTGAATCTTTAATACTCATGGAAACGAGTTCCGAGTGAGTTTATCTCCTATGGAAACGAGTTTCAAGTCAATTGATATCTCCTATGGAAACGAGTTTCAAATCGCTGAATCTTCCACTCATGGAAACGAGTTCCGAGTCCGTTTATCTCCTGTGGAAACGAGTTCCAAATCGCTGAATCTTTCACTCATGGAAACGAATTCCGAGTCAGTTTATCTCCTATGGAAACAAGTTCCAAATTTACTATGGAAACGATGAATCTTCGACTAATGATGGAAACGAGTTCCAAGTCAATTGATATCTCCTATGGAAACGAGTTCAAATCGATGAATCTTCCACTCATGGAAACAAGTTTCGAGCCCGTTTATCTCCTATGGAAACGCGTTTCAAATCGATGAATCTTCCACTCATGGAAACGAGTTCCGAGTCCGTTTATCTTCTATGGAAACGAGTTCCAAATCGCTGAATCTTTCACTCATGGAAACGAATTCCGAGTCAGTTTATCTCCTATGGATACAAGTTCCAAATTTACTATGGAAACGATGAATCTTCGACTCATGATGGAAACGAGTTCCAAGTCAATTGATATCTCCTATGGAAACGAGTTTCAAATCGATGAATCTTCCACTCATGGAAACGAGTTCCGAGTCCGTTTATCTCCTATGGAAACGAGTTCCAAATCGCTGAATCTTTCACTCATGGAAACGAATTCCGAGTCAGTTTATCTCCTATGGAAACAAGTTCCAAATTTACTATGGAAACGATGAATCTTCGACTCATGATGGAAACGAGTTCCAAGTCAGTTGATATCTCCTATGGAAATGCATACTTTTGCTCCCTTGATATATAAATAGTAGATTGAAAAAACATAGGGATTAAAAGTTTCAAATTAATTTTGAATAATAAGTTCCAATTTTCATAACAAAGCAATTCTTAATGAAAGGGTATAAGTACGAAACGTTATATTAACGTTAATTATCTGGAGTAGACATGGCAACAATATATTTTGTACTAGAATAGTTGGGATCAGGAAAAAATGATGTTTATAAGTGCATGGTTATCTGTAGACTTGACCTTTACAATTTCCTCCTCGATATAATTTCACAATCTAATTGATTGGATGTCACTATAAGTACTCCGTCAGTTTAGTGATTCACTTCTCATCGAAATGGTGACAGGTATAATTTAGTGTCCACTTCATTCTAGTCCCATCAGATCTCGATTGGTTCGCGAAAAATGATTTTTTCGACATGGTTAGCGTTACTGGTGGGTGCGATTGGGGCACTCTTTTTGCTCAATTATATTTACAATTGGATTCGGTTTATGCGACTTATGGACCGATTACCAGGACCTAAGCCGCTACCAATTCTCAGACATTTATTGGATTTATTTTGCGAACAAGGTAAGAAGAAGTTCCCATAGATGTAAATACAGGGTGTAACATAATTATAATTCAAATGACGTATTCCCCAGACTTCTCTGGAACACCGTAGAAAAGTTGGCGTTCTGGCACTATTTTATAGATATTTTCATGGACGATGTTCTTCTGAAATATCAACAACTGTTCCTCCCTCGGCAGTCCCCACGAGATTAACCCGCCGAGTTGAGGCTTCGCACCCCTTCGTGGTCACTTTGGAGACCTGCAGAACATCTCATTCCAAAGACTCGTTCATCCAACGAAGAGCGAGGCTCTGGAACACATTGCCAAGGGAGGTGTTCCCCGAGGCATATAACCTCCAGAAATTTAAGAAGAACACCAATCCCTACCTTATTTCCCTTGGTCTCACGATGTTCTCTGAACATTACAGGATATCCCTTTTCGTAGGAACCAGAACATTTAAAAAAAATCAAACTATACTATATGTGTACTTTGAGAGTTTATTTTTGAATTTTAGGCGAATTTTGGAGGAGATTGAGGAAATGGAGCAAAGACTATGGACCTATGTACAATCTGGCAGCTATGCATTTTCCTTCTGTCAATATATCAGGACCAGAAGAGTTTGAGGTGAGATAAATAATATGTCATGTTTTTTATTTCAAGCTCGTAAAAAACATCGTGTACAGGGTCATTCCGTATATTTAAACAGCTTCTACAGGGTTCATCATTGAAGATAGAATAAAACTTCAAATACAGAAGCTCTAGGCTCCAGAAAATTGTACGAGGTTAAACAAATGAATATCGCTGATATAAGTATCGGTACCAACTCCATTATTTTCAATGGAACGACTTATATAGGTATATTTGTCGAAAAAATTCAAGATCTTTCTTCGAAATCGAATATTTCATAAATGGCTGGACCGAATGTCCTATATATTTTTGAAACAGAAAAGGAAGATCTTGAATTTTTCCAAAAACTATATAGGGAATTCCATTGAAAATTTCACACCAAACATTTTCGATCAATATAAAGCCTGTATTTCGTATCGTTATCATATATATAGCAAGTAAACAAATTTCTTGGAAAGTTTTTCCTTCCCCTCCTACATTCAACTTCAGTTTATTTCGAGTTCATTCTATAAGTCAATAAATAAAAATCATTATTCATCAACAGTTTACCATATAATATTATGTAGGTATATATACTTGCGAATTCGAAATTTACAAAACCATCAAAAATCGTCATTATCCAAGTAATTTTTGATAATATTTCAGTGTGAAATTTTCTTACAGAATACCATTTGCGCTTCAATCAATATCCGGAAATGATTGAAGTTCCCCTGATATTATAAGTAAAAATACCGAATTTGATACCCATTTTTCATATCAAAGATATTCATTTGTTTCACCTCGTACAATCTTCTGATATGTTCAGAACGAACCCTATACAACTTTTGTTATTTTCTATCTTCAATGATAACCCTGTAGAAGCTGTTTGAATAGACCAGAAGACCCTGTACCTATAGAAATTGATAATTTACATTTATGTGTCGAAACCCTGATGATAGTTTGGCTAAAAATGCCTCATACATGTCAAAAAAGTATTGATAAGTTTCAAATTCCTCTTTTAGGTTATTGCTTCTACAATGAAGCATATTGAGAAGGCAGATGTCTACTTGTTCTTGAGAAGATGGTTAGGTGAAGGCCTTCTGACCAGCACAGGTAAATTTTCAGCAGTACCTTTGACTATAAGTACTTCAAAATATTCGGGTTATACTCCACTACCTTGTAGGGTCAGTTTAACAGAACAAAATACTCCCGCACTCATACTATCAACGTTATTTCATTGTAACCAAGATACGTTGTTACGTTGTAATTTTGTTGCTATTGACATCTCAAAGATTATCTTAGAGTCGTTATATGTCCACCAACAGTACAATATCGCAGGACGTCGCAAGTACGTTGAGTAAAAGTCGAAACTGATACGTGTCATGAAACAGCTTTGTTACAGTGAAAGTACATTCTCAAATAGTATTTGCGATAACGCTTTTACGTACCATGTCTTCATTTCGGAATGTAAAAAGTACATATCCTTGGACGATTTCATAACATTCCTGTTTCATTATTGTTGACTCTCTTGTAACATTACTAGGATCTTTCGAAATATACAGGGTGATACTCCAAAAATGTCCACCCTTGTAACTTGATTATTTCTAGACCAATATTCGTGAATTCTGAAAACTATTACTGGTATAATCACATAGCTAGATTTTATCACACTGGATTTTTCATAATATGTCTCATTTCTCCCACTACAGAGAACGATAAATAGGTATAATGAAGTAAACTTGGTTCAATCATCTCAAATGTATCGAAAGAAATAAAAAATGGTAGGTATTTTTAACAACTTGGAAACAAAAGAGTTCTGGTCAACTCTTTGAAGGATCATTTATTATTGTTTTGAGCTGCCCTATAATATCTTATATCCACGTATATTCAAAATTATCCAAGTTTTAGAGCTTAGCTCAATTGAACGTTTTGATTTATTCAAAATCATTCGAAGACAATAATCCTTCCTTTGTCGGTATGAAAAAAATATTGATACCTTTTTCAATTGATTTTTAGGTTCACATTGGCAAACACGCAGAAAAATTCTGACACCTGCTTTTCATTTCAGCATCTTGCAGCAATTTGTTACAGTATTCAATAAGGAAACTGACAGATTAGTTGAGGTGCTGAAAAAGGAGACGTCAAAACCTTGGACAGACGCCATGCCACTCATATCAGAATTCACCCTGTATACGATTACAGGTAGGTAATTGTAGTGAGAAGTACCTTTAAGTTTTTTTTCGTCGACCTATACAAGAAATTATATTTAATATTCTAATTTCCCATCGAAAAACCGACTATTTCCGAAGGCAAGTACTTTTGTGCAGGGTTGCCGGTTTTACTGAATTTTCAGTAGATCTCCTGATTTGCATATTGAACAACTGATCTACTTGAAACATTTCATAACCTACTGAAAAATATTTTGACACTTATTCAGTATTATAATTGCCTATTTCATAATTAATCTTTAATCACATACACTTATCAATTGCATGATATTTAGGCAAGCTCTGTTTGGATTAATTTCAAAAAGTAAGTGATAAATTCGAGGATTAATTAGCACATAGGTACTAATGATGTGTATAATCAAAACAAGGACAATATACTTTATCTGATTCAGATCACATTACATTTTTTATATACCTCTTTTATAACAATTTGTTTCTTACGTTCAATAATTTTATTTGTTTTGTATTTTTGTTGTTCATTTATACTATTCGTTCCTGTTTTTAATTTATTCAAATCTTATGAGTACCTATGTAACTGAATTTTGTGATATTTTTGAGTATTTTGTTTTAGTTTGTTCGACTTTGTTGGAGGTTAGAGTTTGTATTCTGTTTTCTCTTTTTATCTTCTGGTTCCCACGCAAAGGGATATCCTGTAATGTTCAGAGAACATAGTGAGAACCAAGGGAAATGAGGTAGAAATTGGTGTTCTTCTCAAATTTCTGGAGGTTATATGCCTCGGGGAACACCTCCCTTGGCAATGTGTTCCAGAGCCTCACTGTTCGTTGGATAAACGAGTCTTTGGAAAGAGATGTTCTGCAGGTCTCCAAAGTGACCACGAAGGGGTGCGAAGCCTCAACTCGACGGATTAATCTCGCGGGGACTGCCAAGGGAGGAACAATTGTTGATATTTCAGAAGAGCATCGTCCATGAAAATATCTATAAAATAGAGCCAGATCGCCAACTTTTCTTCGGTGTTCCAGAGAAGTGAGCGAGTTTGTGAGCGAGGCATCACCCACGAGACGAATTGCCTTTTTTTGGACAGAATCCAACAGTTTCAGCGTATGTTTTGCACTCCAAATATGGGAACAGTATTCCAGGACAGGTCGGATCTGTGCCTTATAGATCATAAGCAGCTGACTGGAAGTGAACTTGGTCCTGGCCCGAAACAGAAAACCAAGTTTTTGGGATGCACGTTTAGCAATTGATCTCACGTGATTTTCCCCAGAAAGGTTATTGCTGATAGTAATACCAAGCATACCAGGTTACTCCTGAAAAGCTTATGTTGGGCACAGTGAGATCGGCTTTTCTAGAGAAAAGGCGGTATGGAGGATACTATCATCCGCGAAGCTGTGTACTGGACATGAAGTTGCTTCCAACAAATCGTTGATATGGAGTAGAAATAGTGTTGGTGCTAGAATTGATCCTTGCGGAACACCAGCATTTATGATAAGAGAGTCAGATGAAACTTCGTCGACCACTACATAAAGAGACCTGTTTGAGAGAAAACTAGCTAGCAGAGAACATAACTGGGGAGGCAAGCCATAAGATGGAAGCTTCATAGGTTCATTTCATTATCCTTTTTTGGAATTCGTATAGCATGATATAGGTGTGAATTTTTGACAAGGTGTTTACTGATGAAATAAAATTCGAACTGGCAACCTTGGTCCGTGCGGAGAGTGAGTTGACAGCAACTGTCATTTGCTGTTGTCAAATTAATTATTCACCGATTCTGACAGATTTCACGTGTGATTAGGACCATGATGTGGATAGTGTTTGAGGTCGACGAAAAAATGTGATATGCACCTCGGTGAAAAACTGTCTATTGTCTTGCCTGATTGCTAGCCTCGGCTAGGCCTCGGCAGTCTCGATTATAATAGACAGTTTTTCTTCCTTGGTACTCAAATAACTATTCTAGAAACTTCAATGGGGACGAAGCTGAACATGCAAAACCAAGAAGACAAAGATTACGTATCGAGCATCTACGAAATCGGAAAACTCCTATTCTACAGGATGTTACGACCTTGGTTGTACGTCTCCCCAATTTACTACAATTTGACACCATTCGGTCTAAAAGAGCGCAAACTGATCAAAGTCTTGCACAGATTCACTGACAAAATAATATCTCAAAAATCCAAGGATTTTCAGAAATTTGATGTACCACAAGAAAATTACAATTATTCGCAAAGGAAGAAGCTGGCGTTTTTGGATTTGCTGCTCAACGCGAAAATCAGTGAAGGCATCATCGATGAAAATGGTATTCGTGATGAAGTCAACACTTTCATGTTCGAAGTTCGTATATCACTAGCAAAAGTCAATTCACTGCATCACAATTTCACTTTTACATCAATCCAGTTCATCAATTGTATCAACTTCCATATCATTCACTGATGTACAGGGTGGGCCAATAAATTGGGCACTTTTAAAGGGAAAATCATATTCCCGTATAAGATAGAAAAATACTGACTATTCATCAATTCACATGTCAAACTCAAAGGTGAAAACCGCATATCGATATACAGGGTATTCCTATCAATGATATGCTAATATTCAAGGGGCCGATTCTTCGACCCATTTCAGATTATTTTTGTATCCACCCTGTATAGCTTTTCGTGATGACAAAATTCAGTCTGCTATGTGACTGACTCGGTACACAAATTTCAAAATGTTACATACTGTGGTTATCCAGTAATGGATGTCCTGACCCAGATAGCACGGGACGTCCCGAAGACGTCCATTTTAGGTCCATTTTTGGTCTGAACGTCCAGGACCTTTTATGGACGTTTTTAAGACATCAAAATTTGAAGTATGGTCTCGTTCTTCCGTTTTTTCACGTAAACGAAGCGTTCTATTGAACATGACACAGGAGGGACCCACCAAGCAGACTCAACAATGCATAATCAATATTATATAATGTCATCAGAGGCTAGTGGTGTTAATCACACCATGTTAAAGGAATCTATTTTACGTATCATCGCCAAATTCAATCGTCATTTTGACGTCATTATGACGTCAGTCGGACGTCATAGTTTGGTGAGTGAATGACGTCAATACGACGTGAGTAATATGACGTCATTGGGCTGTGACTTATTCACGTCATTATCACGTCAATGCGACGTCAACTACTGATGTCACCTTGGTCATTCAAGAGACGTAAAAAAGACGTCACTGGAACGTCATCTGGTTGCCTGGGATTAAATCAACATTAACTCAAAATCAACTTAAGACGAACGATTCACCGCACTCGCCTGGCGTTTCTAAGAGATGTCGCTACGGTTAACAAACTGTGATAAACATGAATAAAAATCCAACATCGAGAAACCGATGTAGAATTCTCTTGTTTCTTCATGTTGACGATGTTAGTATTATAAAGATTTTCAACAGGTGTCGCTTCAAATATTTATAGCGCCCTGATACCTAATTATTTCCACATTAATAAAATTATGCAAATGAGTTTTCAATCTAATATAATCCTAAATTACATTCGATTTGTTTGAGTGTCAAATTCTCGGTTGCTCCTTCCATTTTGGGTTCAAATCCGAAGCACATTCTTTCCACGAAGCTGTATTTACGTCTTTATGGGCTTTGTTTTTTTATCGCGGAAGACACCGATCGAGCGACCGGTTAGGAGATATAAATATATTATGTTATGAAGCTGGAAGTAAGTGTGATGACTATTGTATAGGCACTGAGGCACTATTACGGCAAGTAAAGAATACTTTACAGGGTTGGTCTAGGCGTGGCTGATGGTAGCTTCTTGAAATATTTTTTTTATCTTTCGGAACGCTCGAGAGGAAATGTTCAAGGAAGAGCGCACGTGCATGGGGTAGAAAGGGAGAGCAGGTAGGAAATTGAAATTGCTTTGAATCTTATTTGGATATGAAAAATAATCGTAGATATGATAGAACATAAGTAGATAGGATCATCAAATACCTTTTTGGTATATAATAGGAAGTTTGATTATTCAATGTATTATTTAAAATTAAATAATAAAATTGAACAAAAAATATTTAATACTATTATAATTTAATATATCATTACTTCGAAATTCTAATATTCAATAAATATTATTCTTGATATCAAGGTCGAGAGAGACATCGGAACTCCTACCTATAAACCATATCTTCTTTTACCGTATTTCACATGTCGATATGAGTGAAGAAATCACAATATCAATATATAATATAAAATATTCCAAATAGGTATTGATATTTTCCTGGATATCAATATTTTAGATATCTGGGTGAAACGGCGGGTACTCTGAATATTTCCACTGGACATGCCTCGACAGGATATCCTTCGAATATTATTTGGATGCCCAATGTGTGGATATCTGGAAATTAAATTGCGGACCATAGGATTTTGCGTGCGACAGTGGAACAGCTCAAATATGAAATATTATACGCGATGGATAATCAAGTATTCAACTAGAGACTAGACCACTCTACGTGACTGTGGCTCAGCGTCGTCTATAGTTGAATACTTGCAATGATACTTGCTAAACTTGCTTATATTCATCGCGTAAAATATTTCATATTTGATCTGTTCCACTGTGCATGAAAAAACCTATGGTCCGCAATTTTATTTTCAGATCGGTATATGGAATGCTAATGTATAATTGGGGAGAATTCAGAACTCCTAATAATCGTATTTTGCAAAGTAGATAAAATCGAGCTCAAAATGTGATACACAATTGTCCAATTCAGACCAAGGTAGATACAGTGTGTCCCACTTTAAACAGCACCACCTTCGTATTTTCGTATACACTGACCGACTTCAAGATTATTTTTTTTTTCAATCTACATTCCTGGACATTGAACTCTCTTATTCCTTTTGAACACAGCCATCTATGAACAAATAAAAATGCAGAAAATCAGTGAGTAATAGCAGGAAATTCTTTAGCGGAAATCTGACTACAACTCTCTAAAATACATGTGGTCAAATTTTCACAATGATATCATATACAGGGCATTATGTATTGTTAATTAACGTTCGATGTTCTACTATGATCAGAAAAAATATAATAATTTCATGATTTTTTTCAATTACCAATTGAACACATATTTTATACTATTTCTGATCATATACAGTGTGTTGTTTATACTAGGAATCAATTATTTCTCGAATTCGCAAATTAGGTCGTTGAAGATGTATAGAACAAACGAAATATTTTGATTCGCAGAAAATTTGCGTTAGGAAATTGTCTACCTTTAGAAAGGGTTAGGCAGGTTACATTTTTAGTTCAAGCAATATTTCTAGTTTCTTCTCGAAAATGAAATGATAATATAGTCTTTGCAAAGTCTCTTGAGACAACTTGATCAGAAGAGATCCGCCATCACGACCGTCGGTTCCTTTGGCCAGTCATTGGGGATTTTTACCTGGAAAAAAGTCCGGACGTTTTGAAACTTTGTAGGATTATAGTTTTGGGTGTCCAGAACTGAAATTCACGAAATGCACATTCCGGGACATGCCGCCGGCGCCGCCATCTTGCCAAGATGGCGCTCAAAAACGGTTTTTTGAAAATATCTCCAAAACGGTGCGTTTTTAAAAAAAATGTGAGGACATAAAAATTTAAGATGAAGAAATTTTCTACAAGAAATGTCCTCAGTATATTTTTGCTGAAGTGAGCCGTTTAGGCCCAAGAGCTGATTGAATGACATCATATTCTGTTAATTTCAATAAACTGCCCCTAACTATCTCCAAATATGCGTATAAATTTATCTTTTATAATGAAACGGATCTGCTTGGAAGCGCCTTGTACAGATGACTGAGGCAGAGATAAGTGTAAATAGCCAGCGCCCGCAGAGCTACCAACTTTTTGAAACCCGAGCGCGCCAAATTTGAAAAATGAACCGCCCAAAAAATATCGCCCAATTTGTGTGATGTTATTATTCTTTCAAGGAGTCTAATGAAACTAATTTTTTTTTGCTATTCATATGAGTTTTTTTTTAAATAAGTACATATATTCAGCACATCAAAATTACTCGACCTATATACGGTCTCGCAATTTTTTCATGTCCGTTTTTCTCGTAAAATTACTGATTGGCAAATTGTGTTCGTTTGGAAAGGTAATTTAGTTGATGAAAAAGTTCTTGTGTTTTTACCGTTTATAAAAATATCTCATCTGAAATATATATTTTGTGTATTTACTCATATTGGGATGGAGTGGTAAAGACAAGAAAGCAAAATTTCAAATTTCTATGAATTTATGGGCGGTTTTACAGTACGAGAAGGTACCTATATCTACGGATACATCGTATAGGTACGAAATTTACTCATAACCATCCTGCACCCACATACTTCTGGAGCAAAGTCGCCAGATTCGTCGATAAATGCAATTTCACGAATGCAAAATTTTTGTCGCATAATTGATCTGAAAATCGTCCAATATAACGAGGAACAAATTGAATAGCAAGAATATATGGAGATAGGGGCAGTTTATAGAATTTAACAGAATATGTTGTCATTCAATCAGCTCTTGACCCTAAACGGCTCTCTTTAGCAGAAATATGCTCAGAACATTTCTTGTAGAAAATTTCTTCATCTTAAATTGTTATGTCCTCATATTTTTTCTGAAAACGCACCGTTTTGGAGATATTTCCAAAAAACCGTTTTTGAGCGCCATCTTGGCAAGATGGCGGCGCCGGCGTCATGTCCCGGAATGTGCATTTTGTGAATTTTAGTTCTGGACACCCAAAACTATAATCCTACAAAGTTTCAAAACTTCCGGACTTTTTTCCAGGTAAGCCTTATTTTGGATCCCCAATGACTGAACACCGAACGCGTGCCGCGGCGATGTTTTTTTGCTGTATATGTCTAGAGTGAATTTGCAAAGACTAAAATAATACTTATATATTTTCACACCAATTCCCCGTTTGTTTTCTATTAAAATGGATTCACCATTATGTTTCTCTACAAATTATTGATTAGATAAATATTTATTTACTTTGAACAGATTTTCTTCGAATTTTCTTCAATTGATGTCTTGTCTCAGTTATTCCGTCAGAAAATATCATCTTATGGAGGCAAATAATTCTGATATCATGATCTGCTACTCCAAATCAGTAGCACATCATCAGTATTTTTTTTCTGTACAAGCACTTGTTCATCATAATATAATATCAAATGGAATATTTTTTCATTCAATATAGGGTTTACGAAATATTTGCTCGGATGTGAAGAGTGTCACCTCAGCAAAATTTATCAATAAATCAATAAAAATATAAATAACAGTATCTGATGATTCACCTATTTATTTGATTGATAGATATCTCTTGAAATTGTCATTAGTAAAACGCCGTCGGCCTACAAAAAAATACTCAAAGTATTGGTCCATGTTTTCAAAAACAGTTTAAGAACCCTACAATATATAAATCTCAGTAATTAATCGCCAGTTAATCAATTAATGATCATTGCAGAGCCTCATGTTGAAAAATTGGAGTGATAAGATATATAAAATGATGTCTTGTGTATATTTTTCCAAAGAACCGTAGTAGAGATTCAGGATATTGAAGACTTGAAAAAATATGAATTCGATATCATTCACCTCTCGAAAAAAATTCCTTCGATTGTCTTGATATTTGATAAGTTCTATTGAAATAACAAAATGATCAGAATTTGTTTTATCTATCAAAAGGTGTCATAAGCACCGGATGAGTATCAGAATCGAAGAATATGTTCCACCACTATTTTTCTGAGCTGAATGCCTCCTTTTTATTTGCTTGAGAGAAATGTTTGCTTGAATTTTGTCATAATGTTATGTGTAACACCGTGCAGATTTTGTTGGAAATAAAATCATAATGATATTTTTTTTTTCATTTAATCTGACAAAAGCGCTTCAATAACGATAATTAATGTTTTTACTACCGACATTTCCAAAGATGAATATATCCAGAATCTAAAACTCTGAAAAATATGAATTTCTTTAATACTTCATCTATGAACTTTTATGTCACGATCTCCCATACTTCCATATTTCAAAATAAATGATATTGAACCAAATTTTTCTATCTGATTTTTCACACTATATCATGAAGGTGGATAATAAGATGATTTAGGCATCGTCCACCAATATTAGAATATTGGTGGACGATGATTTAGGTATAGAAAACTACCTACAGTTGCGGGTGTGCTGTGTGATAAAGATATATAATAGTCGATATACGATTTTTTTGAGGAAACCATCTCAGAACTACCATCAGATTTTTTCGATAGTATTTTGTTTTTCAAATAATCGAGAAAAACCAATATGTTGCGTTTTGACCATCCCCTGTATCTCCGTTATTTGAAAACTCACGACCGAGCTCACGACATTCATAATATGGGCACCATATTGTATTTTTATTGCATTAAATAGAAATTTCAATCCTCCTTTCAAAAATGTATCACTATAACATACCATATTCTTCTGAACGAATACATCAGAAATAAACGAATCTGAAAATTTCCATAAGAAAAAACAATGCTACTGTCATTATCTCGAAAACGCAGGAAGATATTTCATTGTTCTATTTTTTATTCAAAAGTTCTTGAAAAAGTGCTCACGAAATGTCTGAGCCAGAATGCCGTAAGTTTTCAAATAACAGAGATACAGGGGATTGTCAAAAACGCACCACTTTGGTTTTTCGACATTTTTTCAAAAACAGAAAATGATCGAAAAAATCTGATGGCAATTCTGAAATAGTAATAGAATTCTGAGAAACATTGCTCATTTGAACGACTGTGTAGCTCTTATAATAACCGAGATAGCAATACATACAGCACCAATCTGGGACAAAGTGTATAGCAAAACAACGTTTGCCTGGAATATAAATAGCGTATCATTTCACCCTAAAATGCCCTATGCTTTCAATTTTATAACCGTACCACCCGTACTGACCCTGACCACCGCGCTCAAGTGGTTCTAAAAATAGATAAGATGAGATAAGTAAAATGAAAATAACCAGCGGGCCAAATCAACACCCGTATACATGCTTGCGGATTCGCCGTGGAAGGGGTTCTGAATTCTCTGCCTACCGCCGTCACCCTCTCGCACCTCATTCCTCAGGTGATCGCACTAATTACTTTTTTACCATAATTATAGTGAGTTACCCAGTAACAGGTAGAAGACTGTGATCATTTTTCCGTAATGTGAAATTCTCAACATGTTTCATTGTATTCTTCTTTATTCTGAGCGCCATCTAATAATGATAATTAGAATCAAAATTTTGCAACGCCATCTATAAGACAGAAGCTGAACTAATGTACCCCTGAATAGGCCTGAATTCAGACACGATTTATGTAGGTCGCCACCAATTATCGACGCCATATTGTTAATTTTGGATTTTTTCCCGTTTTCTTTGGAACGGTGAGATTTTGGAAGCCAGAATTTGGGCAGGGTATGGCATTTTAGTGTATCTAGGAGTTAAACCAATTTTCATTAAAATCTGTGACACCAAATTTCCCAATGTTTACATTTTTCAGTCATCGCCTGTTTTCTTCAACAAAAGAGTTTGATTTCGAAAATTACTTTAACTCCTAGCTTGAGCTTTTGTCCTTACGATCATCCAAACCGTTTTTCATTTGGACTTTTCGTTTGGCAGAAAATGGGGCTGGAAAATAGGTCTGCATAGCGATTGTCGTGAATCGTCGGTCTTAACATCAACTCAATATCAAATTGACATTAACTTCACATTAATCACTGAATTGCCAATACATTGACATTAATTCAACTTTCAATTGAAATTAACTTGATTTCAACTTTTCATCAACTTAACATTACGTCAACATTAACGACAATAACTCATGTTGAATTGACACTAACTTAACTTACCATAATTCAGCATAATAATCATTCATTGGTACATCATAATCTATAGACCCTGTTACTGTGCGATTTTAGAATATTTCCACCCATGTGAGTTTTACTTTCGAACTTTCTAACTGTTATATGTTGTCATAGTGAAACGAGTAACTTTCTCAATAACAAATCAATGTGTTTTGTGCTGTTTTCATAGGTGGTCGTTGGAAAAATACGTAACCACTAACAAAATGACATTAACAACGAACAGAAAAAAATAGTAGTAGGGCAGAATTCTTTCTAACAATTGAAATCATAATACATTTTTTCTCTTAGAAAACAAATGACTGAACTCCTGAATATAGCTGGATTTTTAAAGTTTCTAATGGTAATTTTTTGAAGGCCTTTATTGCTCTGTAATTTGTATTTTTTTGGAAAAAATAGTTGAATGTTGTGGAATACTCAGATTATTTCTGTTACGTCTGATCATGTCCATACTAGATGTGTATTCATCCGAGTTTTTGTCAAACAAATATTTATGTTTTTCAACAAATACTACCAATAATACAACGAGGATACAGTATAATTTTTAACAAAGCTACATATTTAGTTTGTGATCTTGATTACAAGTTTCCAAACCATGACTTTTTAAACAAGGTGCTGGAAAATAAAAAAATCTTGAAACTTCAACACTCTGTATGTCAGCAAAGAAGCGTTTGCGGACACATACTCATAGGAAGAAAAAGCAGTCTTATTTTGACCTGGAAAATGAACCCCTGAAATATTGATACCGAGTTTTGAAACACCCTGTATGTATCATTGTCTGTATCATCATTTCATCATATTTCCATTTCATTTCATCACTATTTCACTATAAGAACATTGTACCAATTCACTTTATCACTCTATCACTGCAACATCATCATTTGAATTATCAACTAAACTGTTTTTTTAGGGCCACGATACTACCAGTACCTCGATATGTTTCACCTTGATGTTATTGGCCAATCACAAAGATTACCAGGCGAGTAGAAAATATACAAGATGCAATCTGACAATGAAATCATCAAAATTTATGTCACCAAAAATTAAAACCTCGATCCCTATTAGGAATACTAGGATATTTTTATTGGTACTGATCTTGCAAGAGTAGATAAGCTATGGGGATTCTGGATCAAAATCCCATGTATTTCCTTATGAAGGTTCATTGAGGTCAAAAATGAACATTTATTTATTGATCTTGAAGGTGTTTCTGAGAGGATGTTGAACATTCTCACCACACTTTGACTTAAAGAGTGTCTATAATCTGAGTATCGAATTAAACGATCGCAGCTTGTTGTAGAATAAATGAGACTGGAATAGCACTCCATTAGATACCTAACTCTTCATTGATTTTTATCTCAGAGGCGGCTCAAGTACATATCAGTACTTCAATTTGGAGTTTGATAATGATTCTATAGTTTATACATTTCACATCATAAACATGAAGTAGGTATTCAACTTGATATCAGCCACAAGAAGACGCGTATATACTCACCCCGACAATCAAGTCGCAGTTTACATCAAGTTGAATACCTACTTCATGTTTATGACGTGAAATATATGTATAAACTATCGAATCATTATCAAACTCCAAATTGAAGTACTGATATGTACATGAGCCGCCTCCGAGATAAAAATCAATGGAGAGTTAGGTATCTAATAGAGAGCTATTCCAGTCTCACTTATTTTACATCAAGCTGCGATCGTTTCATTCGATATACAGATTATAGACACTCTTTAAGTCAAAGTATCAACATCCTCTCAGATACACCTTCAAGATCAATAAATAAGCCCCACCCATTCACATTATTCGTCCTACCATCAGCAGCCAAGATTGCCCACCTGCCCGAGAATGAACCTTCATAAGAAAATACATGGGATTTTGGCCCAGAATCCCCATAGCTTATCTACTTGCAAGTATATGAGAATTCAATGTGATTAATAGGAACCAGGTCGAACTTTTGTCTTCTGTGAATGATAATACTGTTGTCATTGGTAGGTAATTAATAGTTACAAATCTGGCAGCGTCGAAATATGTGGTCCTTACTAGATTTCATATAAAATTTGACATTAATTGATTAAATGGAAAATTCGTGGATAAATGTTTGGCCACATGGCAGGTTAGCAAGGAAGAACATAATGGCTTGGCAAATGAAACACAACACAAAACAACACATGAAAAAAACAGTATACTTACATTTCAACGTCTAGCCTGTAGTTGACCAGCAGGATTGAAGTCGGGGAGACGGCGAGCATTTTCATCATTTGATAATTACTAATGACTTGTATTAATCATAATGATGCCTTATCGACTCGGGTATTATTTATATTCGGAATCGATGCTAGGTTTGCAATTTCCCGCCATGGGAATGGCCATTACCTTTCGATATTGCTTACCTAGGTATTATCGCACGGTAAGCGGTTTTTGCAAATTCTACAGGAACTGAAGTCTATGAGCTCCGCTGACCTGATCGAAACTTCACTGTACTGGATGTTTCAATTTGGAAAAGTTAATTTATAATTGAAGATCTCGAAATGAACGCGAGTTTGAGTGATGCTATTGCATAGGCATTTGTACTTCTTGACAATATAATTGATACGAAAAAATAATTATTTTTCTGTGACGGGAAAAAAGTTTGGCATTTCATCTCTGTTGGCAGGTTATAAAATGTCACTTTTCATAAATTACTTTTTTCCCGTGGGAAAAAAGTGAGTACTTCTTTCCCGGATATATATCACATATATATACTCTGTTAATGGCTTCTGTTGTGCTATAGTTCCGAAATATGAGTCAATAATACCGTCTCCGAGAAAGAACTGCAAGTCCTTTTATCTTCCATTGGACTTCGCGGTTTCCTATATTACTAAACAACTACTGATTTCGCAATTTTTCAAAATCGAATCACAGAATTGAACTGACAGAAGTGACATCAGATATTTGATTACTTCAAAAGAATGATAAAGATGTCTATAAAACGCAGGTGTCCCTACTGTTAAAAACTTGAAATTTCACGTGGATAATTTTCAGATTTCGAAATAATGTAATATCTTCTCAATATTGATTCATCCTTCCTTCTGTCACAGAAAAAAATAGTGTATTATACACGGGAAAAATATTAGATTTTAGCTCACGGTTTTTTGTCTCCCTCCGCTACGCGTCGGGAGACAACACAACCTGGAGCTAAAATCTACTACTTTTTTCCCTTGTATAATAAATAACTATTTTGTATACTTCTTGAAGAGATATGATTATGGATTCATACGAAGTATCTTTCGATGATAATTCTCATCATATTATTGACAATAAATGTTTGATTCATTGTAAAATATGTATGTACGTAGCGAATTGTTCAAATTTTCTTGAATTTGGAGTAGCTGCGCGTACCTAGTTCCTATCTATGATATATTCTGGTTACAGTTGATGAATATATTAGTGTTACTGCTGAAACCAAACAAGAAACAAAAACAACTGGTAAAGTGACATCTGTCAAGCTTCCCAAGTGTTACAAGTTACCGTGACGTCATCATAAAGTTAACCTTGTTTGTCTGGTCGGGTTCGAGCAAAATTGACTTTACTCTCCTTCAGGAAAAGGTCTACGAAGAGATGGTGACCGTCCTGGGCGAAACCAACCATCCCACCATACCAGCCCTGAACGATCTCAAGGTCATGGAACGCGTGATCAAAGAGAGCCTGCGCCTCTACCCGAGCGTGCCCTTCATAGGGCGCACCCTGGAGGAGGACACCCTCATCAACGGGTACCTGTTGCCCAGGAGGGTGCACGTCAACGTGCACATCTTCGACATACACAGGAATGAGAAGTACTGGCCCGAGCCAGACAGGTTCGATCCCGACAGGTTTTTGCCAGAGAACTGCGTGGACAGGCATACGTTCGCCTATGTGCCCTTCAGCGCTGGGCCCAGGAATTGCATAGGTAAGTACAGGGTGACACGTTATCAAGTACCACCCCCGATAACTTCATTATTTTTGACAGTAGAAAAAAATGAAGAAAACAGCCTTACAGGGGATTTTTTTTCTCATCGAATCAACTGATATATTTTTCAAAGAAAAAAACAAAACACTAAGTCGGACGACCACAAAGTTTAATTACAATTTTTTTTTACTTTTTGTGGCTAGTTTCGGCTCAAACAGCCATCTTCAGACACAATATACAGTACCTATAAAAGGACACGTGGAGATCACATAATTAATAAAATTGAAATTTGAGAAGCAGGGTCATTTGGCCAAAAATTCAATCCGGTAAAAAATTTTTACTACTTTTGAACCGACTGAACAGCCAAAAGAACCTTGATATACAGTGTGTCCCACTTACCATGCTCACCATGGGTATCTTTTTAACGGTGAGAGATACGAGGTCGGTTAAATGACACCAAATGTGGAGTTTGTCAAGGCCAACTATAATGTGAAACAATATTTTGATAACATCTATTCGATGGTGTTTTATACGCAAAAAACAGATTTTGATCATTTTCATGTCTCCTCCGTAACTTCTTTTTTTATGAAAATATTCAAATAGGAATTTCATATTCTCATGGCAATTTTTCAAAGTGATTTCGAAGAAATATGAAATTTATTCCTCTTCTAGAACTTGAGATATCAGCACCAACTTTAGTTTTTCAAATGTAGCTCATAGCTCACTATGACTTTGTTACAAATAACTTTTTCTTCTTTTACAGATGATATGTCACAGTAATAGTTTTGTGTTGATAACAACGGAGTTATCGTCATTTATACAAAAACAAAAAATTATTTGGAAGCCGACATCTTGAATTTATGAATTTTAACAAAAAAATCATGATTTCCGACCTCAAAAACCCCCACTTACCAATTTTGAATGGAATCGGACCAAATCTTGTCCGCCATCTTGGAGCAGCAATTTTTTTTAATTGCAACAAAAATTCCATAATGTATTGTCACCGACATTATGAACAACTGCCAAATTTCAAAAGAAACGGAGTTATGGAATTTTTATTGAAATAAAAAAAATGGCTGCTCCAAGATGGCGGACAAGATTTGGTCCGATTCCATTCAAAATTGGTAAGTGGGGTTTTATGAGGTCTGAGATCATGATTTTTCTGTTGAAATTTATAAATTCAAGATGGCGGCTTCCAAATAATTTTTTGTTTTTGTATAAATGACGATAACTCCGTTTTTATCAACACAAATCTATTACTGCGATACATCATCTGTAAGAGAAAAAAAAGTTATTTGAAACTAAGTCATAGTGAGCTATGACCTACATTTGAAAAACTGAAGTTGGTGCTGATATCTGAAATTCTAGAAGAGTTTTGGTATAAATTTCATATTTATTTCGAAATCACTCTGAAAAACTGTCATGAGAATGTGAAATTCCTATTCGAATATTTTCATAAATAAAGAAGTTACGGAGGAGACATGAAAATGATTAAAATATGATTTTTGCGTATAAAACAAAAACGAATAGATTATTTCAAAATATTTTTTCACATTATAATTGGCCTTGACAAACTCCACATTTGGTGTAATTTAACCGACCTCGTATCTCTCACCGTTAAAAAGATACCCATGGTGAGCATGGTAAGTGGGACACACTGTATATTATATATATATATGAAATACTTGAGATATTATATAGGTGTTATATATTTTCAGAAAGCGCAAAGCCTCATTGTTCCAAATATGATAAAATATACAGGGTGTTCCATTAAAAAAATACAACTTCTGGTTATATATGCAGAATTGTAACTTATTTCTAAAATCTGACTACGCCACTGGAATCTACGTGAAAAAATGTGTAAAAGACAGTTCATACTTTCTCGATAAGTCGAAATTAATTGCAGTTGGCTCTTGGACTATTATAATATTGGAGTGTTTCTTCTTCTTCAATCAGACACAAATTACTGAAGTTTTCGTTATTTTTTAGGACAAAAGTTTGCAATATTGGAAATGAAAGCAGTTTTATGTGGGATACTGAGGAATTTCGAACTTGATCCGATTGATACTCCAGATTCAGTTGTTTTAGTACCAAGCATAATCCTCAGGACACACGACCAGTCCTTGAAATTGAAATTCAAATCAAGGAATGCTGGAGACAAACGTTGAAAATGATGAATAATATTGAGCTTATTACTTCTAAGACTATGCAGGTTATCAAACGAATGTAGAATCCAGATGAAATATGATTTGTGTAGGTAGGTACATCCCAGCGAGCACAAAAACATCTCAGAGATGTTGAAAGTACGAGATTTCGAGACATTGAACCTCCACTGCGATGTTCTGTTCACACATGAATAGAACTATTATAGAACAGCCAATGTCCGCCGCAGGCGGCAATTATCGAGATGTCCTTGATATGTCACAAAACTACCTTCTCCCTAATTCTTTTTGAAGCCTTTTCATGGACACAACATTACATTTTCAACGCGTCTTGCGCACATCGCTGTAAAAAAACATTTTCCAGGTACTTTTCTGAAGCCTTTTGTCAAAATGAACTTTTGCATTAGGATTCCATTTCCCTTGAATGAAAAAATGCATTAAAAATAGATTGAACATAAAAATATTTTCTTGATATGAAATTACCTTCTTAATCGGTTTCTGAGTAGTGTTTACTACACACAGACATATAATTGGAAATAGGTTTCCCAATTTTTGAAATGTTCTTCACAATGCATAATTTTGCAACTGCGGAGAAGCTGTGTATTGATAAATTCGTACTTTTATATATTTATTACACTGAGACACCGAACAACACATCTTGCATCTGATGGTCATTATTACAAACTAAATAATAAGTCTTCTAACACAATAAACTTCACCAAATTCCTTTCTGTTCGTTAGCAGCGTGATGTAAGCGTGACACGCTGCAAACGCGAATGCCAATTGCGAACAAGAAGAACAAAATCGAAAACAAATCAGAATTCATCGTATTGTGACGTAAGCATGAGACGTTGTGGTGGGGCAAACAAAGAAAGAGCACAAAAGAACAGAAACAATACTTTCAATATCCTTCTAAGACCTCTTTGGGAAGTGCATATTACGCCTCAAAAAAACATCCTCATGCCTACATTTCTAAAACATCCCAGGGATACCTCTCAGTAGGCAAACAAAGAAATGCCACAGAAGAACAAAAACAATACTTCAATATCCTTCAAAGGCCTCTTTGGTCAGTGCATATTACGTCTCAAAATAACATCTTCATGCCAACATTTTCAAAACATCCCAAAACATCCCAGGGATGTTTGTGCTCGCTGGGATGAATTATCGCTTTCAAATTCAAATGAAACACTTTATATATCATATGCAACAGTAAGTTTTATTTAATATTTTCACATTGATTTTGTAAACACCTTATATTTTCAACTTCTCTGGATAACGATGTAAATGCTACATTATCAAGAAAGAACATTTTTTGGCATTGTAATCCATATATGTATGTACATATGATATAAGCACTTGCATAACAATAAAAAAATAATTTACTGAATTGTTTGACATTTTGATATACCGGGTGACACAGCCCTAATAGCACACAACGTCCTAGAGACGTCCCTATTTGGTACAATTCACGTCCGAATGTTCCGGACCAAAAATAAGTGTCCATGGGACGTCCCATCCCGTACATCTCTTGCAATGTCCGAGCAAGGACGTCCACGGGATGACCCAGCTGGTACATCATTTCAAATGTCCTAGAAATAGCATCCCTTAGACGTCCCACGTGGTACATATTGTAGAATGTCCATGCAAGGACGTCTTTGGCATGTCCCTGATGGGATATGATTCTATAAGTTCCTTTAGGGACACCCATCGGATGTCCCGAGTAGTACATATACTGGCATGACTTCAGATCTTATATAATGTCCCTTCTAGGCAATCATGAAATGTTCCTGATGGTACATTCCTTCAAATATCTCTGCACAGGCGCCCTTGATATTTCCAGGATCGTATAACAATCGAAATGTCCCTTAGGGACGTCCTTCGAATGTCAGTCGGATGTCCCAATAGGTACATAAACTGTACTCTTCCAATGTCCTAGAAATAACGTCCTATGGACGTCCGAGTCGGTACTTTCAAAATGTCCCTATGAGGACGTTAACTCACACCTCGCCGACAAATGATTGCTCGTAGGCTATAAGTACTCCCCTCGTCAATGTCCTTCACGTAAGTCCATTGGACATCCTTGGGAAACTTTTTGGGGACCTTCTACGGACAATCAACTCAAGTGGATGTCCTAATCAGTTATGCAAGATCTGGTCCTAAAGGGACCCAGACAAATTCAAATTCAAGAATAATTCGTACGTCCCTGGGACATCCTATGGACATCCAATTGATATCCGTCAGCGTTGCTGATAGGTTGTCCCATAGATGTCCTAAGTACATCCTCTGTAGTGCTTGATGAGGAATACTGTAGGATTAAGGTATTCGATAGTTGTCCCAGGGACGTCCCTCAAGGACGTCCCTAGTTGGTCCTCAAGTGGGACATTTGTGCGTCCCACAGACGTCCAATGGACGTTCACGGTACCAAATTCGAACGTCCTATGGACGTCCTGAATGTCCCGACAGGACGTCCTAAGGATATCCATGGGACATAAGTGTGTTATTAGGGAGGGTATCGGGCCACCCTTGTAACTTCTGCATTCGTCAACGGATTTTTCTGAAATTCGGTACAGTTATATAAGCAATTATTTCGGATTTGATCACATTACAATCCAATATGGCGGACTTCCGGTATTTCTGGAAATGCCAGCAACTTTGTTATTTCAAATGAAACACCCTGTATATTTTTTCATATTCAAGTTCAACAGGTCGAAACAAGTGCAATCTTTATTTGAAATGTCATTTTTTCGAAAAAATTTAAATTGAAATTGTTTTTTCATTTTACCTCGTGGATAAATGAGATGTGGTCAAGACTATTCACAATGAGTCACACATAACAGAAGAACATAATTTTTTCTGAAAAATCATTTTTTGTGTCACTTATCCAGGAATCAATTCAGCCACATCACTTTTTGATCAAAAATTATTTAACCCCTATGGGCCACCTACCCGTCTCTCTAGAACATACATTAAGGAACAAAATGACATATCATTTTTGTTTTTCGGTGCAGTAACAAATTGTATACATTCAAAAATCTACAACTAGTTTATGAATTTTCTTGCAGTTAGAATAATTTTTCAACTAGGTAGGCTGTGGAATAAATGACATTTGACATCAAGATTGCACTTGATTCGACCTGTTGAATTTGAATATGTAAAAATATACAGGGTGTTTCATTTGAAAAAACAAAATTGCTGGCATTTCCAGAAATACCGGAAGTCCGCCATATTGGATTGTAATGTGATCAAATCCGGAATAGTTGCTTATATAACTGTACCGAATTTCAGAAAAATCCGTTGACGAATGCAGAAGTTACAGGGGTGGCCCGATAACCTGTGTCACCCGGTATATCAAAGCCATACGAAAATCTTGAAAAAAAAGTTTGCCCACTTAAGACACACTGTATGGGAATCTTTGAATATCCCAAAGGTCGTCACAAATGACATCGGGAGAAAAAAAACTCATGATTATTGAATATACAAGCTGATTCAGTGGCGAGTAATATAAATTGTAGGACTTGTAAACAAAGCTAAATAATGAAGTTTTGAGTGTATACAGTGTGTCCCACTTACCATGCTCACCATGGGTATCATAATAACGGTGACAGATACGAGGTCGGTTAAATGACACCAAATGTGGAGTTTGTCAAGGCCAACTATAATGTGAACAAATAGTTTGATAAAATCTATTCGTTTTTGTTTTATACGCAAAAAACAGATTTTGATCATTTTCATGTCTCCTCCGTAACTTCTTTATTTATGAAAATATTCAAATAGGAATTTCACATTCTCATGGCAGTTTTTCAAAGTGATTTCGAAAAAAATATGAAATTTATACCAACTCTTCTAGAATTTGAGATATCAGCACCAACTTTAGTTTTTCAAATGTAGGTCATAGCTCACTATGACTTACTTACAAATAACTTTTTTTCTCTTACAGATGATATGTCGAAGTAATAGTTTTGTGTTGATAACAACGGAGTAATCGTCATTAATACAAAAACAAAAATTATTTGGAAGCCGCCATCTTGAATTGATAAATTTTAACAAAAAAATCATGATCTCCGATCTCAAAAACCCCCACTTACCAATTTTGAATGGAATCGGACCAAATCTTGTCCGCCATCTTGGAGCAGCCATTTTTTTTAATTTCAACAAAAATTCCATAATGTATTGTCACTTCTGGCCGTCCTATCAACTTGAAATTTGGCAGATGTTCGTAAATCCAGTGACAATACATGATGGAATTTTTGTTGAAATTAAAAAAAATGGCTGCTCCAAGATGGCGGACAAGATTTGGTCCGATTCCATTCAAAATTGGTAAGTGGGGGTTTTTGTTTTTTGTTAAAATTTATAAATTGAAGATGGCGGCTTCCAAATAATTTTTTGTTTTTGTATAAACGACAATAACTCCGTTGTTATCAACACAAAACTATTACTGCGACATATTATCTGTAAGAGAAAAAAAATTATTTGTAAGTAAGTCTTAGTGTGCTATGACCTACATTTGAAAAACTAAAGTTGGTGCTGATATCTCAAATTCTAGAAGAGTTGGTATAAATTTCATATTTTTTTCGAAATCACTTTGAAAAACTGCCATGAGAATGTGAAATTCCTATTTGAATATTTTCATAAATAAAGAAGTTACGGAGGAGACATGAAAATGATCAAAATCTGTTTTTTGCGTATAAAACAAAAACGAATAGATTTTATCAAAATACTTTTTCACATTATAGTTGGCCTTGACAAACTCCACATTTGGTGTCATTTAACCAACCTCGTATCTCTCACCGTTAAAAAGATACTCATGGTGAGCATGGTAAGTAGGACACACTGTATATTATGTTGTTTCAAAAAAGGATTATAAAACTTTCTGCATTATTCAGCTTCATCTTTTAATCCTTCAATAATTACTTGTCACTGAATCACTTTATATAACCTGGATGGCATTATATAGAACATTTACAAAAATATACACATTTCAGGATGCGCTGCTTCATGTCCACATTTCGTTACACCCACATCGCGTGGTTCCCACATTTCGTTAGCCCCACATTTCCACAACATACCCGAAGTAGGCACTGTTGCCAAATGCTATCCTATATACCAGAATTCAATGAAACTGTCATTGTGGGCCTATCGACACATTGCATTACACCTATATTTCGTTACACCCACATTGCGTTTTGCCCACATTCCGTTATGCCTACATTGCGTTACACCTACATTTCGATCGGCCCACATTTCGTTAGCCCCACATCCTTTCTGCATAAGAAAGGAAACTACTTTTTCTGAACATTCTAACCTTGCTCGGCCTAAATGAACCTCCTTCCTAGGAAATATATTTTTATGAATATTACTCGAGAGAGCGAAAGAAACTATACTTTTTCAAAACAATCTAACCTAACTCGGACTAAATAAACCTTCCTAAAAAGTATATTTTTTGATGAATTGCTTGAGAGAACAAGGGATACTACTTTTTCTAAACAATCTAACCTAACTCAGCCTAAATCAACCTTTTTCCTAAAAAGTTAATTTTTCGGAAAATTACGCATCATGCACAGTAAATGGCAACAGTGCATCCTTCGGGTATGTTCAGAGACAGTGGGAATATCGAAATGTGGGGCTAATAAAAAGTGAGCCTATCGAAATGTAGGTGTAACGCAATGTAGGCATAATGAAATGTGGGCATGAAGCAATGTGGGTGTAACGAAATGTAGGGGTGAAGCAATGTGTCGATAGGCCCACAATGACAGTTTCATTGAATTCTAGTATATAGGATAGTATTTGGCAACAGTGCCTCATGTGGGAGTAACGAAATGTGGATGTAACGCCACGCTCCCCACATTTCATATCAAAGCAAATAACATCACATTTTGTAATACTTATATATTTATTTAGGCTCTGAGTATTGTTGGCGATAATATACAGGGCGATCGGAAAATTGATGCCCTACGAAATATATTATTTGTGGTCTCACTTTCGAAATACAGTGTGATCCTTCAATCAATGAACAAATATATGATAATCCAAATACAAAAATTTAGGGAATATTAACGAATCTTTCATTGAGGAATCACCGTGTATAAAACACCAGCTGGAATAAATTGAGTGAGACAGTGGATTGTTTTGAGCAGTCCCGTGTGTAAATCAAGATATGGAGATAGTTTTTTACTATCCAATATTTTACTGAATCGAGAAAACACTTGATGACTAGTATCGTTTTTTATTTATCTGAAACACTAGCGCAACCAAAAATGTTATTGGGAGGAGACTTCTGAGAATCAATTGATTTATTTTGAGAATAAAAGTATCATCTTGAAACGGAAAAAATCTAAAATAAAACATAGTGTATACAGTGTGTCCCACTTACCATGCTCACCATGGGTATCTTTTTAACGGTGAGAGATACGAGGTCGGTTAAATGACACCAAATGTGGAGTTTGTCAAGGCCAACTATAATGTGAAAAAATATTTTGATAAAATCTATTCGTTTTTGTTTTATACGCAAAAAACAGATTTTGATCATTTTCATGTCTCCTCCGTAACTTCTTTATTTATGAAAATATTAGCTCACTATGACTTAGTTACAAATAACTTTTTTTTCTCTTACAGATGATAATATGTCGCAGTAATAGTTTTGTGTTGATAACAACGGAGTTATCGTCATTTATACGAAAACAAAAAATTATTTGGAAGCCGTCATCTTGAATTTATAAATTTTAACAAAAAAATCATGATCTCCGACCTCAAAAACCCCCACTTACCAATTTTGGTGACAATACATTATGGAATTTTTGTTGAAATGGAAAAAAATGGCTGCTCCAAGATGGCGGACAAGATTTGGTCCGATTCCATTCAAAATTGGTAAGTGGGGGTTTTTGAGGTCGGAGATCATGATTTTTTTGTTAAAATTTATAAATTCAAGAAGGCGGCTTCCAAATAATTTTTTGTTTTTGTATAAATGACGATAACTCCGTTGTTATCAACACAAAACTATTACTGCGACATATCATCTGTAAGAGAAAAAAAAAGTTATTTGTAACTAAGTCATAGTGAGCTATGACCTACATTTGGAGAAATAAAGTTGGTGCTGATATCTCAAATTCTAGAAGAGTTGGTATAAATTTCATATTTTTTTCGAAATCACTTTGAAAAACTGCCATGAGAATGTGAAATTCCTATTTGAATATTTCCATAAATGAAGAAGTTACGGAGGAGACATGAAAATGATCAAAATCTGTTTTTTGCGTATAAAACGAAAACGAATAGTTTTACCAAAATATTTTTTCACATTATAGTTGGCCTTGACAAACTCCACATTTGGTGTCATTTAACCGACCTCGTATCTCTCACCGTTAAAAAGATACCCATGGTGAGCATGGTAAGTGGGACACACTGTATACTTGGTAGATTGAGATTTAGGTTCTCAATCAATTTTCTGGGTGCGAGAGTGATCTGACATGGAGCAACTGATTTCAAAATTGCAGATTTTGAGCATTTTCATAAAATTCTGAGTAACTTAACGACTAAAATTCGGATGAGGTGAAAACGCCAATTATTTGGCCAGCAAACACACTGTATGAGTTTCTGGTCCCAGGATCGTATACACATTTTCCAACCCAATCGAAACCCGGACATTTTGAGCACCCTGTGTGAACAGTTTGATCGACATACCTACAGGGTTATCGACAATTGGAACACTCGGTATCCCGTGTATGAGGGAGACCATCACTGATTTTTTAAACGACATCATTGTGAGCTTTATATCAAAAAACTACCAATAATAGTAGATTGTTTTATTAGGATCAAAAGTGACACTTTGTTTGACAAGCGAATTTTGCATTTGCGAGGCGGAGCGTTTAGCGAAGCCGAGCGAAAGCAAAATTTGCGAGTCGAACAAAGTCACTTTTGATCCGAATGAAACATGCTATTTTTTCTGCAACCGAAACAATAAAACCAAATAAACATGTGAAGTAACCACCAATGCCGTGCCATATGTATGCAATGCAACAAATATTGACAAATAATCCCTGTGGTGAGAATATTCTACCTGCATTAACAGCAGGTTAGGTTTTCTAGGATGTTCGAATTGTAGTTTCAATATGAATACAACCACAGAGTGACATATTTGTGTATGGACCAGGTGCTCTAATGGCAAATACCGCGCCAGTGCCAGCTATAGGAACAAGACGTGGAAAATGTTAGGTTAGTGAGCATATATCAACAATGATAATAGTGATTATTTATTCCTCTCCATACTACACTGTGTTTGACTTGATAACCAAATGAAGCTAAACAATATCGTTGTTTGAGACAAAAAAACTATTGCTTGCCGTGATTATTCAAAAACAAGTTATCCATCCCGAGAATAACGAATGAAATACAGATCAAGCAAGTATTTGAATCTTGAAGGCTTCCCTGATCAAAACAAAAATACTTAGCTGAGATGTTTATAATTCCAATACTAAACTATAATAAGGTGTATTTATATCTCCAGCATGGGTAGGAGATGCTAAATCTGCTGAAATCAGAAACAAATCACGTCTGCATCTCAACCCAAATAACCAACCATCACAATGTTGTTAATTCTTGATGACTTCCAGTACATCCAGTTCAACTTTAGCTCCTAGGAACTAAAATTCAACTTTAGCTCCTAGGAACTAAATATGTTGCCTAGCAACATACCTATTTTTGTGTCAGTAATAGAAACGTCAATTTAAGAGCTAACTTTGGTATCAAAATGGACGACTTTTGTGTCAGTTTCAGAAAAATGTATTTTTTCTGCAACTTTAGCTCCTAGGAACTAAAATTCAACTTTAGCTCCTAGGAACTAAAAAGGATGTACTGGACGTCATCAAGAATGAACAACATTGTGACGGTTGGTTATTTGGGTTGAGACGCATGCCTGATTTGTTTTCGATTTCAGCAGATTTGGCATTTCATACCCATGCTGGAGACATAAATATACCTTATTATAGTTTATTATTGGAATAATAAATATCTCAGTAAAGTATTTTTGTTTTGATCAGGGAAGCCTTCAAGATTCAAATACTTGCTTGATCTGTATTTCATTCGTTATTCTCGGGATGAATAACTTGTTTTTGAATAATCACGGCTAGCAATAGTTTTTTTTTTCTCAAACAACGATATTGTCTACCTTAATTTGATTATCAAGTCAAACACAGTGTACTATGGAGAGGAATGAATAATCACTATTATCATTGTTGATATGCTCACTAACCTAACATTTTCCACGTCTTGTTCCAATAGCTGGCACTGGCGCGATATTTGCCATTAGACCACCTGGTCCATACATAAATATGTCACTCTGTAGTTGTATTCATATTGAAACTACAATTCGAACATCCTAGAAAACCTAACCTGCTGTTAATGCAGGTAGAATATTCTCACCACATGGATTATTTGTCAATATTTGTTGCATTGCATACATATGGCACGGCATTGGTGGTTACTTCACATGTTTATTTGAGTTAATTGTTTCGGTTGCAGAAAAAATAACATGTTTCATTCGGATCAAAAGTGACTTTGTTCGACTCGCAAATTTTGCTTTCGCTCGGCTTCGCTAAACGCTCCGCCTCGCAAATGCAAAATTCGCTTGTCAAACAAAGTGTCACTTTTGATCCTAATAAAACAATCTACTATTTTTCGATACCTCGTACCTTGACTTATACGGATACCATCACGAAATTTCTTTACTGAGCAATCCCAACTAATTTCGCATTGTTCCCACCCTTTTTGGTAATACTTTTGGCTGTTTTTGCACCATAAATGAAAATGTGATTTTGAAACCTTGTTTTCTATACCACGGAAACGGCCACTTTGCGCCCGTCGTTCGCCAGCGCCGGCTTCAGCCGTATGGTGTGCCTCAGGGACACGCCCGAGGCCGATCGCCGCGACGAGTGCGTCAGCGTGGTAGTGACGGTTCCGGCGGCGCCTCGCTGCGCTTGCGTGTACCGGCTGGCGGGGCAGCACGCGGCCAGACAGCCGCTGATCCACGAGAATGGCGGCACTTTTCTGCACGGATCGAACGTTAAATGTTTTAGTAATTTGCCGCATCTATAAATAGAGACAGAGGTTTTTTTTCATCTTTCTTTGGATCGCGGGAAATGTGAAATAATCAACATTTTATGTTGGTTATACTGGAAATGAGGAAAAAATTTAACCTCAACATAAAAGAGAGAAGGAAATCTTCTCATAGGAAAACAAGGAATAGTTCGGACACAGCTGAACTTTTGTCCTTTTTTATTTTCTGAAGTGAATAAAAGAATGAGACATACAAGGTGATTCCAAAATAGGTGGTCAAACTCTGGGAGTATATAGAGTGAGTGAAATAATTACGAAAACCTTGGCAAATCTTTTTTCTGAAGTGCCCCCCAAGAAAGATACAGCCCCTCAAAGGGGGGGCCTCGGAGAATGATTTTGTATTATTATCTCCACCACCTTGTATGATGATAATCTAGAATTTTGTTCTTCAATTTAAAGTGATACACTTCTAACAGAACAACTTATAGCTATAATTCCTTATTGAATATGAAACTGTACTCCAGTATGATAAGTATAAAACATGGAGATATTGCTATTAAATTAAAGGTACCTATGGACTTCTTCAGAACATTATTTTATTTTTAGTTCTTATTTTATTTTGATTGCTGTACAAGCTCCCCTTTACAATTTTCAAATTTTTCTGATGATAGCCATGAGACTCCTGCAGTAGGTACTATACAGGGTGATTCAATGATATTTCATGGGTCTATCATTCTTTATAACTAAGATAAAATGTGATTTATTGATAACCCCTATTTTTTTCAATTATTCATAACTTATGAAACGCCCTGTACATTTTATTGATATTTCTTTGTATGTTCTTTGTCCACAGTGGTTACGATTGACATTTACACGAAAAGGGATATCCTGTAATGTTCAGAAAACATCGTCAGAACCAAGGGAAGGGAGGTTATATGCCTCGGGGAACACCTCCCTTGGCAATGTGTTCCAGTTCGTTGGATGAACGAGTCTTTGGAAAGAGATTCCGCAGGTCTCCAAAATGACCACGAAGTGGTGCGAAGCCTCAACTCGACGGGTTAATCTCGCAGGGACTGCCAAGGGAGGAAAAACTGTTGATATTTCAGAAGAGCATTGTCCGTGAAAATATCCATAAAATAGAGCCAGATCGCCAACTTTTCTAAGGTGTTCCAGAGAAGTGAGTGAGTTTGTGAGCGAGGCATCACCCACGAGACGAATTGCCCTTTTTTGGACAGAATCCAACAGTTTCAGGGCATTTGAACAGTAATTCAGGACTGGTCGGATCTGTGCCTTATAGATCATAAGCAGCTGACCGGAAGTGAAATAGCTCCCGGCCCGAAACAGATAACCAAATTTTTGGGATGCACTTTTAGCAATTGGTCTCACGTGATTCTCCCAAGAAAGGTTAATGATGATAGTAATACCATGCAAGCATCGAAATGGATGTCTTCAAAGGTATGGTTAATCCTGACAAGCTTATGTTGGGCACAGTGAGATCGGCATTTCTAGAGAAAATGCATGCTTATGTTTTGTTTGCATTGAAATCGAGTTATTGGATCCCCATTCCAGAATTGTCACCAAGTCCATATTTATGTTGTCAACATTTCTTCCTCGTTCGTTTCTGATTTGCCTGCCTGATGGTATTGGAAGAAAAGGCGGTATGGAGGGTACTATCATCCGCGAAGCTGTGTACTGGACATGGAGTTGCTTCCAACAAATCATTGATATGGAGTAGAAATAGTGTTGGTGCTAGAATTGATCCTTGCGGAACACCAGCATTTATGATAAGAGAGTCAGATGAAACTCCGTCGACCACTACATGGAGAGACCTGTTTGAGAGAAAACTAGCTAGCAGAGAACATAGCTCGGGAGGCAAGCCATAAGATGGAAGCTTGGCGAGGAGTCCGTGGTGCCAGACTCGATCGAATGCCTTGGAGATATCGAGTGCCACGGCTTAGAGGTTTCACCATATTTTTCAATAGATTGCTGCCATAAATGTGAGACGTAAGCGAGCAGGTCACCAGTTGATCTCTGATGACGGAAGCCATATTGCCAATCGTTGATAATACCTGAATGTTCCAGGTATTTCATAATAAAAAAAGTCTCATTCCAGGGCCGTCTTGTTGGAGAATAAAAACAATTTATAGGGTAGTTCATAAGTTATGATTAACTGAAAAAATGAGGAAAATTGATAAATCATCCTGTATCTTGGTTATGAAGAATGATAGACCCATGAAATATAGATTATTCAGAAGCACCTCGGTGTCCTACATCTACCCTAACTGTATGCGCATTTCCCAATGAATCATCCTGTATATGATAATAATAATCAGATGTGGAAAAAACTCACCGCAAATTCCCGCAAATGTGCGTCGAAAAGAGACAATATATGACAGGATTCGCGGCAGAATTCAAAGGGGCCAAACTCTGGATGAGCGTAGCTATGGCGATGTTCGTTTGGGTTTTGGGAATGTGGCCGTACACTTGCAGCAAATCGAAAATTATGTAGGGACTCCAACATATCACGAATACTGAAACGAACGAGACAAACAATTGGTGATTTTTTCTTCATAAATCACTATCTACAACGCAACATATCTCAATCTCTCATATCCCCTAAATGACGATTGACGATTTCAATGATGTGTCCATTATCTGCTGAATATGGAAAAAATCTAGTGAGCTGTAGTATCTGGTCTGCTCAAAACGAGGGAAATCACCTACAGGTTTCTGTGGCCGATACAGTAGTGCCGCGCCATACGGTCAACTCGAGGAAACACTTATTTCAATTGTTTTCCTGTCGAACCTACATAACCTTGAAAATCGTGAATGAGTTGAACTGTGCTCTCGGCAGTCTCGGCCGGCGGCGTAGTCACGGATCACGGTCACTCAGTCACTTAAAAATTCAAAAAATCATTCCTTCTCAAAATGGTTGCTACATACACTACAATAGTCCCCATTTTACAACGTTCAACACCTAATTTGAATGAAAGGTAGAATCAGTAGTATCGATTATCAGCTTTTGATCAGGGCTCTGATATTATCTTACTTGTAATGAGCCTGAAACACTCAAAATCAAATGTTTGCACTTATGTCGCAAAGAAATATCACACAGACAGAGTTTGCAACAAATTAACAATCAGAATGAAATACTATAATACTGGGAGCACAATAACAGAAAACCATAAACGAAAGGAATATTAGAACAACGAAAATTGAAAAAGAAAGATTTTTTTACGATGGCACGACAGCTCTTGACACTGACAACTTACATAACCACAAATTTCGAACATTTTCTAGAAATAAGTGATCATTTCGTCCGATACGGTAACATCCTCTGGTGGTCATACACTCAAGTGAGCTATAGAGCAGACCAGTAGTTACAGCTCACTAGATTTTTTTCCCATATTTAGCAGACAATGATGTTTCACACTTCAAGTTATGTCCATTCATTCACGAGTTATTCGAAGTTGAAGACGTCAATAATTATTGTAAAAAAGGTGTTTCTGAATTCAAAATGACATGAGAATAAGATGAATGGGTCCTTCATAAAAATGTATTTTTGGTAAAACTGCACTTATCATGAGATGGGTTATTTTTCGAAATATTTTCTTGTACTTTTGTCTGAAAAACACGAATTTGATAAGGAAGATGTGAACAAACCACTATTTATCGAGATATTTCAAGAAAAAGTTCGAAATTTCGCCTTCTTTTTTTCCCTGTGTTTAATCTTCTTATATTGATATAAAAAGTCTCCAATGTACATGAAACTTTTATTAATTAATTCTAAAATTATAACAATCCTTCATCCATAACCATGGATACTACACGTTACAAAACCATATACATAACGAACAATCAAACTATAATATATAACATTCCCCCTCACAAGTATCAATTCAAATCGTAATCTTTGAATCTATATGGCAATTTAGGAATACGACTTGAACTTCTAACACCCGACAATGATTGTTCGGGTTTAGGCAAATCAGAAGGATAGTTATTCTCAAGATCAGTTATACAAGCAGAAGAGTTGTTATTGCAATTTACTAGAGGCTCATCATCAGAAACTGACCTCAGGAATTTTCTATTCCTCCTTAGTTCTCCATCCCCTGTATCTACAATATATGATCGAGGTGCAGAATGTTTCTCCTTTATTCTTCCTCTTTGCCAAGTCTTTCCATTTCTAAGATAAACATCATCTCCTTCACTAAGTGACTGCATATCTTTAGCACTTCTATTGTAATATTTCTGTTGTATTTTCTGCATTTGTTCTTTCTTCTCTTTTATCCCTTCAACAAGATCAGGTTCCAAATTACTTTCCAAATTGGGTAATTTAGTTCTGAGCATACGGTTGAACAAAATTTGAGCTGGTGACTTTTCTAAATATTTCAGTGGAGTATTTCTATATTCCATCAACATAGTATAAATATCAGTTTTTTGTTCATAAGCCTTTTTGAATATAACCTTGGAAATTTGAACTGCACGTTCTGCAAAACCATTGGACTGTGGATATCTGGGACTACTCGTAGTTATTTTAATGTCCCATTCCTTAGCAAATAGACGGAACTCATAACTATCATATGGCATGTTATCAGATACCAATTCTTCAGGAACCCCATTTCGTGCGGAATTTGGGATAAGAGAACCCAGAAGATGTTACTAAAGACTAATGACATTTCATTGACAGAAGCGATAGATATCTGTGTTATTCAAGAACTTAGTGAAAAGCAGTCCAGAGTATTACAGGATCACCAGAAAGTTGAAGAGATCAAGAAAATGGGAAAATGGGGACTATCACCAGACAAGCCGAACGTTGAAGAAGTCAAGAGATTGGGACAATGGAGACCACGTGGAGTTTTCCAGCGCCAAGCGAATTTTGATCAGAATAACCAGTGTTATAGATGTAATAGGTTTCATGAGTTTAGGAATTGTCCTGCGTTTGGAAAAATTTGTAATTTTTGTCAAGGTAGAAATCACTTTGAGTATTGTTGTCAGCGAAAATTTCCAAAGTCGAGTGATAATAACATGAGAAAGGTAAAAGAAATTGAAGTTAGTAATGATGACAATGATAAAGAATTTTTAATATCTGAAATCGTTATCCATGAGATATGTAGGGCTTGGTATGCTGACATTTTGATTGATCAATTTCTAATCAATTTTAAGCTTGATACTGGTAGTGAGGTCAATATAATACCCGAGAGTATCTTTAGAAAACTGAAACAAGGCAATTCAGAACTAGAGCTAGGTTCAACTAAGGCAATTTTGGTGAGTTTCGGAAATTTCAAAACTCAAGCATTAGGTAAAATTTCATTGATGTGTAATACGAATATTAATTTAGAATTCTTGGTGACAAGTATTGAGTCTCAGCCAATTTTAGGTTTATCTGGTTGTATTAGATTGAATATTCTTAAGAGAATCGATAGTCTACAGGTTAAAACTGAAAAAGAACAGGTAATTCTTGATAATGAGTCTGTCTTCACTGGTTTAGGCAAAATAGATGGTGAGTATCACATTGAAATTGATGATAGAGTTGAACCAGTTATTCATGCTTGCAGAAGAGTTCCATTTTCTCTGCAGCCAAAGTTGAAAGAAACATTAGATGAGCTCGAAAGTATCGGGGTCATAATGAAGGTTGACTATGCCACTGATTGGGTGAACAGTTTAGTTATTGTTGAGAAAAAAAATGGCTCACTTAGACTTTGTTTAGATCCCACCGCTGCCACCATGTTTAATCTTCTTATATTGATATAAAAAGTCTCCAATGTACATGAAACTTTTATTAATTAATTCTAAAATTATAACAATCCTTCATCCATAACCATGGATACTACACGTTACAAAACCATATACATAACGAACAATCAAACTATAATATATAACACCCTGTGTTGTGTGTTGGATGCATTTACAGTTACTTGATCTTCTTATTTTGTCATTGGACACTTTATATACTCATGATGTAACTTCTATAACACATTTTTATATGGACAATTAAACAGGAAATATGATTTTTATGGCGAGTTCTTGATATTTCGTGAACAATTATACCAGATGACGGCCATTTAATCAATGGTCTATCCAAATATGGGATGTCAAATGTCAACAGATTGCTTTTGAATGACATTACACACACCATTATTTTGAATGATATTCTTTTTTCTTTTCACTAAATATGGATAAATCACAAAAAAATCACATTTCTAGTCGACTCATATAATAGAAAGAAAGGTGTCATTGAAGTACATCGTGATATATTGATTGTCCATCAATGATGGAAAAAGAAGGGCAAAATGCGATCCAGAAGAGAGGCGGAAAAGAAGGTACAATTTGTAACTTTATAGGTGAAATATCTTGATTAATAATGGTTTGTTCACATTTTCATTATCAAATTCTTATATTTCAGACAAAAATACGTAAGTAGGTACCAGAAAAGATTTTCGAAAAAAAAACATCGCATGATAAGTGCAGTTTTACCGTACTTACTACTTTGATAAAAAATAAATACAAACCACTAATGAATCAATTAGGTGAATCACCCTGTATAAGAGAAGCTTCTGCCGAATAAAATAAAACTGTTTAGGTTCATTGAAAACTTCAAGCGGTATTTTTTGGACCACTCAGTATTTTCAAGCATGTGCCCATGGAGCAAGTGACCTTTGTGCTGCTTTGTGCACGAAAAATAACACCTAATAAAGATTTTCAACTTCTCATTGTCTCCTCATTAAAAGAAGCAATTGAATACATGAGTTCCTCGTGTATTGAATTTTTTGCCTATCCGACTTTTTTCTCGAAAAAAATAAAGATAAAGGGAACAAAAAAAATTATTCTTCCTCGAAAAAGACTGAGATTGGCGAATGTCAAAAGATAAGGAAGTTGTTTTCTATCAATTTATCCTGAGAAAATACATGAAGAAATTGAAAAAAATCCATTGCTTGCATACAAATCTAACACCCTATATCTTGAAAACGAACCATTCCAAGACTACGAATTTGGGAGATTTTTACATGAAAATTATCTTCCCTAAGCTTTTATCACTTGAATTCAGAAACACTGTAGAAAATAAGCAAATATATCTCGCCAATAGTGATGATTGGAAAATTTCAACGGGTTGATATTTGTATAGAGCATCTAAAATCGATGCCAACGATATACTTTGGTTGATTTGTTTTTCAAATATCTGAAGTTGAAAATGCCAATATTGTCAATATCGTGTTTATTGAGTATCTCGTTGGCATATATTATTGAACGATAAGATAGGGTTGATATTAAGATAGAGCATCTGAAGACAATTCCAACGATATGTCACACTCTATGCTTAGGTTGATTTGTTCGTGAGATATTTTGAAGTTGAGAAACATCAATATTGACAATTTCCTGTTCAAAGATTATCTCGTTGAAATCAAATTGAAATATATTTTTGAAATAAAAGAGGATTGATGTGTCAATAAAGTACCTGGAAGACATTTGACTTACCGAACACGATCCCAAACGTCATTTTGACAGTCTTGATTTTGGCACGTGGAATGATCCCTCTTGAGCTGGCCCTGCGACAATCGTGGTCCTCGTGGAATGCTCGAGGTGTGATGATTCTGTGGTCATCGCCTGTGAATAAACACTCTGTATATTATACAGAGCATGTATGGAAGATCTGTACAAAACGCTAACACAGAAAAAAAGGACTGAAATTTGAGGTTTCGCCTAATTTTCCTCGGTCCAAAAGTTGATAGTTTCCAAAACATATACCGGGTGTCCCAAGTTATCGTATACAGGCAATTTCTCGCAAGATAATTGAAAAATTCAAAAACTGCATTGGATGGTATTGAAGTACAGTCGTATTCAATAAAAAAGCGTACAAGTATTAAACATAGAAGATTTTGGCATTCCAGTTCTCGTTGTGTAAACTTGGCTCAGCCAATGCTTTGTGTTTCTGAGAACCTATGATAACTCTACCCTCAACATATGGTACACATTCATCCCCAATAGCCCGTTTTACGCAAATAGGATGACGTTAATTTCTCCCTTCAATATACTTGTACGCTTTTTTTTTGAATACGACTGTACCTTCCTCATGACATATAAACAAATCTATTACATTTGACAGTTCTCTGGCAGCTATCCACCACTTTTTATTTTCAAATGGCACCCCCTGTATATTGTTATTGAAAATTCCGTGCCATTCTATAAGGAATACAACGATAGCAAATACATGGTATTTTTTATTATTATAACTAAAATAGCAACATTTAATGAAGCATGAATTTCAATTCAAATAGCTTTTATGCGAATCAAAAAATGAACTAAAAATCACAGCAAGTGTTCAAAATTATTATAACATGTAAAGCATCGGCTTCTTGAAACAAAAAACATGAGCGGAGGCAATATTTCATTTTTATAAGAATAATTGAGTAACAAACAAGTCACAAAATGTTCATATTTATGTTATCAATAAAAAAATACCCAGTATACGCTATCGTTGTATTCCAAATTGAGTGACACGTAATTTCCAATGACAATATACAGGGGTTGCTATTTGAAAATAAAATGTGAGGGGTAGCTGCCAGAGAACTGTCAAATATAATGGATTTTTTATATGTCATTAGGAGGCTACTTCAATGCCATTCAATGAAGTTCTTGAATTTTTCAACTATCTTGTCAAATAAGCGAGATATTGCCTGTATTCGATAACTTGGGACACCCGGTATAGGGTTTCATAGCTGTTATTTCCATATGCTCTTATGCAAAGCTTCAAAATTGTAGTATGCCCAGCTATGTACAGGGTGATGGCAAATATAAGTAATTAAGAATTCAGTACTAGGAAATACACTAAAGCAACGTAAATCCAAATTTTATATAAACTGATATTTTTCAAATGGAACACCCTGTATTTTATTTTCCCTATTCGTTAGATCCTCTTACTTCTGGGTTCAGATATACAGAGTGATCTTTCTGAAAGCGGGCAACCCTCATACATTTTTCAATTGAAATGATCGATTTCAACACCATACCAATTTTAAACTTCTCAAGTCAACTCCAAATTAGAAAACTTCTTATGTGTGGCCTCTGTAAATCGCCTTGTATAACATAATAATTTTCCAGTAGTGATTCTTTTTTATCTTTTGAAGTGCGCCAAAAGGAATCCCTATTATGCTCGTTGAACATCGACCATGAATGAACGCATCCCCGTGTGTCTGTTGAAAATTCATTTTCGAATATTGGGAGTGTCTCGCCTACTCATTGAAACTATTTCAGAAGTCAATTTATTATGTACTCGTTATACACATCTTCGTGTAGACTAATTAATATTCTCACTCGGATAATATTGAAAGAGATATCACCGACGAGATAATAAACAACGGCATAGACTCTATATAGACTGCGTTTGGCTGCTATTGTTTTTGCTCAGACTTCAGGATATTCACGGGGGCAATTTTTTTAATGGTAAATGAAAAATGAAACTGAAAATTTCACACCTCTCACTTTCGACCAATTAACAGCCTGTATTTTGTATCGTTAACATAGCAACTCAACAAAAATTCAACTTCACATTCTGTCGAATTCATTCTAAGTTGATAAGTTTCGTGGAAGATAATACACTCAGTTCCAAAAAAAGTGACGCACTTGATATTTGACCTATCTTCTTAAGAAAAAAAAAATAGTAGGCCGACAAAGTGCTTACATCCTATACGAAAGAGGCTTCTTTTGCGAGCATTTTGTTTTTTTATTCATTGATTTATCTCTAAAATTTTTCGAATTGAAGCTTTCTTGCTGATACCTTACGCTTATCCCACAAATTAAATTTATAGAAGGATCAGAGTACTCCAAATTAATTGGGTTGTACTCTGGTAAGATTACAGTGTCTCCAAAAAAACAAATGCCGTTGCCATAGCAACTAATTTGTTGTATGCCTCCATATTTGACCATTTGTCGTTGTGTCATTAATTAGGTGTCCTGTTTATTGACTAAAATTACAATAAAATGCCTCAAATAAATCCTGAACAAGTAGCAAGATTAGTTGCGTTAGTAAACGATGGGCGTAGTAAACGTTACGCCGCTCGTGCAGTGGGAGTTCATGGAGCAACTGCTCGTAGAGCAATCCGCAAGTACGAACAAACAGGAAGCACCGCTCGGAGGGTCGGTTCTGGTCGCCCCCGAACAACATCTCCAAGAGATGATCGCTTTTTGAGATTGCGGATTTTACGGAATCGATCAAATACTGCGGTAGACATTCAGCAAGATCTTCGCCAAATTCGTGATGTTGCAGTAAGTGAGCAGACGGTATGTAGACGTCTAAAAGACGTTAATTCAAAAGCTAGGAGACCTGCAAAAGGTCCCAAATTATTGCCCGAACATCGTGCTGCTAGAAGAAATTTTGCTGAAAATTATGGACAGTGGAATATTCCTGAATGGTCGAATGTCTTGTTTACGGATGAGTCAAGGTTTTGCCTTAACATGGTGGATGGAAGAAGAAGAGTGTGGAGAAGAACTGGTGAACGGTTTAATCAAAATTTAATACCAGAATGCGAAAGTTTTAATGGTGGGTCCGGCGTGGGGAGGGATTTCAATGAATGGAAAGACACCCCTTCAAGTTTTTCCGGTGAGGCAGTCTATGAATGCCCAAATTTACATTGACATTTTAGAGCAGTATGTCTTACCTTATGCAGAGTTAGTGGGCAATAATTTTATATCGATGCAGGATAATGCTCGACCACACACCGCAGCAATAGTTCGAAACTTCTTAGAAGCTACTGGTATTACCACATTACAATGGCCTGCGAGAAGCCCCGATATGAATCCTATAGAACATTTGTGGGATGAATTAGGGAGAAGGGTACGTTCTCGCGAGAGGTCTCCGGAAAGTCTCGCAGAAATGGCAGATGCATTAGTGGAAGAATGGGATCGTATACCAATGGGAACGATAAGCAACTTAATTTTCAGTATGCTTCGTAGATTAGAAGTTCTTAGAGTTGCTAGAGGAGGCAATACACGGTATTAATCAGTCATCCTGTGTTCAATGAAAATGTTTTTTAAATTATTGGTATCAGTTAATTTCATAAGAAAATTGTTTCTCGATAAATTCAGAAAGTTGGTAATCTGCAAGGATTCAGCAAAAAAGCTGTAATTCGGAAAATTTTAGAGATAAATCAATGAATAGAAAAACAAAATGCTCGCAAAAGAAGCCTCTTTCGTATAGGGTGTAAGAACTTTTTATGCCATTACTCAATTAACACACAGGGTGAGTCAAAAATTAAGAATAAATCATGGTTCGAGTTATTCCACCACCATCAAGGAGGCTTTGAAAAAATGTTGACCTCTTTATTTTTTTTTAAGACAAATGCATTACCTACCAACAAATAGAAAACAAATGAAAATCGGCCTACTATTTTTTGTTTTTTTTTTCAAGAAGATAGGTCAAATATCAAGTGCGTTTACATTTTTTGGAACTGAGTGTATATAACCCTTGGTTATTTTCATGCTGCCATGGAGAGCCCATGATAAATAAATAAACCAAGCATTTTCCACAGAAATAATTCAGTACACCCTGTATAGGATTCCATGTAATGCTCGGCACCCTTCCAAAATTAACTGTGAAACTCACTTTGCCTTATGGGTATGTGCCCTATGGGAATGAGTAATTTGCTCTTGGTCCAAATTGTCCACACGATGACTGCGTAACACGCGCTGATTATCAGGGCCGGAATGACGAAAAGGACGAGGGCCACCAGTGTCATGTACACCTTCCATTGCCACTGCAACAGGTCTATCCAACATTGGGGAATATCTGAAAAAAAAATATGGTTATCAGAAAATGGCAACATTGGATATTGTTATTTTGAGTAGGTATACTGTAAATTGGTCTGATTTACAGTTGAAACTTGGGGTGAATGTTATTTACAGATGTAGCTGTGAATTGGCCTAATTTACACTCGTCACTAAGTCACATACATTTCTGATGTCAGTTGAATTTTCTCTATGTTTGTTATTGTTTTTGAATAAAAATGTACAGTTGAATTGATTTATCGTTATTTACCTATCGAAGAGTAACGTTGGATACGGTCTATATGGTATCACCGAAAAGCCCATTGGATGAGCTTTCGAATTATGAAATAATATACAGGGTGATCAATTCGAAAAAAATGAGTTTCGGCGATTTGAAAATAGTGAAATTCGGTCCTTATTTTAAAACACCCTGTACATTTTGAGTGAACCCAAATAATGTCCGAGCTTCTACACATACTTTTAGTATCTGTATACTCAGTTTTGTTCATACATCTTCGAAAATATAGTTTCCCTGAATATTTTCCAACATTCATGTTTTCTCGTCAAATTGGATTAAAATGTTAATAACTTGACAACGTCGCATCTGATCTTCAAAAACAAAATAGGTTTGTGAAGCCCACATGAGAGAGATTCCGAAAATGAGGTGTGAGATGTAAAAAAAGATCGATTCTTTCACCCCGCGGATTCATCAATTCAAGTTCACACCAAAATGATGCTCTTGGTAAAACTCTGATTCTGGTATTAGAATGAGTATTATAAACAAGTATCTATTCATCAAGGACAAAAAACATTGACATTATTTTACTGCTGAAGTTATCGATTAAACAAAATCACATTAGTTAGAGTAAGTGTCCAAAATGTCTTCCGTTTTCACGAATACACAATTCGATCCTTTTTCCTGAAGAATGCATCAATCTTCTCAACGGTTGAGGATCAGCTATGAGATCATCGAAGTAATGTTCAATTCTTTCTTGCATCAACTAGCATCAGTGTTATACTTCAGCATTTTCAAATCGAAATATCCCGAAAACGGTACACAGTATCAAGTTTTACCAAGAGCACCTCTTTAGTGTAAAATTGAATGATGTTCAAGTTCACATTAATTTTGGAGTGAAAAATCTAACCTCAAGAAATTGAAAAGTCCTCCTACTGGAGAGCAACTCCAGGTCAACGACAAGCGAAAAGGTTCATCAACCATTCGCAGAACCGAGCCAAAGAGCTACTCAGCCTCAGCAAACCAGAGCTAAAGCTTATCACAGGCTTTCTCACAGGACACGGCCCTCTGAGGTACCACCTCAAAAAGATGGGCCTGGCGGAGACTGACACTTGCCGCTTTTGTAACAATGCGACCGAAACCGCGGAACACATACTTTGCTCATGTGAAGTATTAGTCCGCCAAAGGCTGAACCACCTAGAACAGGTCTATCTCACCCCTGCTGAGGTGGAAAATTCAACCGCCAGGAAAATCGTAGGCTTCATCAGAAGTCTAGGGTTAGAGGACCACAGCTAGATAGGGGTAATCACAATAGATCTTCTAGATCGCAGTGATCGAGAGGTCTCCCAGCCATACGACCCATCTACAATCTACAATCTACAACCTCAAAAAAGTTGTGTTTAAAAGTACTCGGTACGAACCGTGTAACTAGCGCCCTGTATGAGTGTCAGATATAAAATAGTAGATTGTTTTATTAGGATCAAAAGTGACACTTTGTTTGACAAGCAAATTTTGCATTTGCGAGGCGGAGCGTTTAGCAAAGCCGAGCGAAAGCAAAATTTGCGAGTTGAACAAAGTCACTTTTGATCCGAATGAAACATGCTATTTTTTCTGCAACCGAAACAATTAACTCAAATAAACATGTGAAGTAACCACCAATGCCGTGCCATATGTATGCAATGCAACAAATATTGACAAATAATCCATGTGGTGAGAATATTCTACCTGCATCAACAGCAGGTTAGGTTTTCTAGGATGTTCGAATTGTAGTTTCAAAATAAATAAAACCACAGAGTGACATATTTGTGTATGGACCAGGTGCTCTAATGGCAAATACCGCGCCAGTGCCAGTTATAGGAACAAGACGTGGAAAATGTTAGGTTAGTGAGCATATCAACGATGATAATAGTGATTATTTATTCCTCTCCATACTACACTGTGTTTGACTTGATAATCAAATGAAGCTAAACAATATCGTTGTTTGAGACAAAAAAACTATTGCTTGCCGTGATTATTCAAAAGCAAGTTATCCATCCCGAGAATAACGAATGAAATACATATCAAGCAAGTGATTGAATCTTGAAGGCTTCTCTGATCAAAACAAAAATACTCAACTGAGATGTTTATAATTCCAATACTAAACTATAATAAGGTGTATTTATATCTTCAGCATGGGTATGAAATGCCAAATCTGCTGAAATCGGAAACAAATCATGTATGCGTCTCAACCCAAATAACCAACCGTCACAATGTTGTTTATTCTTAATGACGTCCAGTACATCCTTTTCAGTTCCTAGGAGCTAAAGTTCAACTTCAGCTCCTAGGAACTAAAATTCAACTTTAGCTCCTAGGAACTAAATATGTTGCCTAGCAACATACCTATTTTTGTGTCAGTAATAGAAACGTCAATTTAAGAGCTAATTTTGGTATCAAAATGGACGACTTTTGCGTCGGTTGCAGAAAAACAAATTCATGCGATGTGTCAGCTTTCAAAACACATCCATACAAAATGGCATTACAGTGTTGCCAGTAGTTTCAACATAATCGTAAAAAATGTGTAAAAAAATACTTTTTCAACACCTTGTATCTTGAAAACGGATGGCGTTACGACATTTTTTTACGAAGCGAACCCAACTTATTTTGCAATGTTCTACCTACCCTAGCAAGGGGGTTAGGTTTTTTTGAAACACCCTGTATACGATGAAAAAAAAATCCAATCATTTCGGCCATAAGAATAAGGGTAATTTTGAGAAGAGAAGTCTACAAAATCTGTCGATATCCTTCGCAAAAATCCGTTCGTTTTATTGCATAGCTGACGCCCTCAGCTCTTGATAAACACGAGATATAATAGGGTGAGGGAAGCAATAAGAATCCTCAATATCCTCTCAACAAGAGGAAGTAAACATCTTTAGCTATACTCCGTATTTTCCGCATTTCCCCTTGTGTTTGAACAGCGCGGTATTTTCGCAGAGGTGGCTTTTGGCTGATGCTCAGTTCAGTCTAATGGTACTTTCTGTTTTGATAAACCAAGAAAAATAAACGAAAACGAGGATGCATATACACTGTGATCAAGATAAGGTTGCACAGCATGGGCATAGACAGTGTGTCCCACTTACCATGCTCACCATGGGTATCTTTTTAACGGTGAGAGATACGACGTCGGTTAAATGACACCAAATGTGGAGTTTGTCAAGGCCAACTATAATGTGAAAAAATATTTTGATAAAATCTATTCGTTTTTGTTTTTTACGCAAAAAACAGATTTTGATCATTTTCATGTCTCCTCCGTAACTTCTTTATTTATGAAAATATTCAAATAGGAATTTCACATTCTCAAGGCAGTTTTTCAAAGTGATTTCGAAAATAATATGAAATTTATACCAACTCTTCTAGAATTTGAGATATCAGCACCAACTTTAGTTTTTCAAATGTAGGTCATAGCTCACTATGACTTAGTAAGAAATAACTTTTTTTTCTCTTTCAGATGATATGTCGCAGTAATAGTTTTGTGTTGATAACAACGGAGTTATCGTCATTTATGAAAAAACTAAAAATTATTTGGAAGCCGACATCTTGAATTCATGAATTTCAACAAAAAAATCATGATCTCCGACCTCAAAATCCCCTACTCACCAATTTTGAATGGAATCGGACCAAATCTTGTCCGCCATCTTGGAGCAGCCATTTTTTTTATTTCAACAAAAATTCCATGATGTATTTTCACCGAAATTATGAACACCTGCCGAATTTCTAGTTAATCGGAGTTGAGAAATTTTTGTTGAAATTGAAAAAATGGCTGCTCCAAGATGGCGGACTAGATTTGGTCCGATTCCATTCAAAATTGGTAAGTGGGGGTTTTTGAGGTCGGAGATCATGATTTTTCTGTTAAAATTCATAAATTCAAGATGGCGGCTTCCAAATAATTTTTGTTTTTGTATAAATGACGATAACTCCATTGTTATCAACACAAAACTATTACTGCAACATATCAACTGTAAGAGAAAAAAAAGTTATTTGTAACTAACTCATAGTGAGCTATGACCTACATTTGAAAAACTAAAGTTGGTGCTGATATCTCAAATTCTAGAAAAATTGGTATAAATTTCATACTTTTTTCGAAATCACTTTGAAAAACTGCCATGAGAATGTGAAATTCCTATTTGAATATTTTCATAAATAAAGAAGTTACGGAGGAGACATGAAAATGAACAAAATCTGTTTTTTGTGTATAAAACAAAAACGAATAGATTTTATCAAAATATTTTTTCACATTATAGTTGGCCTTGACAAACTCCACATTTGGTGTCATTTAACCGACCTCGTATCTCTCACCGTTAAAAAGATACCCATGGTGAGCATGGTAAGTGGGACACACTGTATACGAATTCGGTTAAAGTGGAAAAAGTTTTGAAAAGGAATATTCCCAAATATAATTATGGGCATGAAAAAATATGATGAAAATATCAATGGGCTTATATCACAAAAAAAAATTATTTCATAATTCGATAGAACTCACCCAAACTAGCTCACCACCGCAAACCGTTTCTTGTTGTGAGCTCCCTACGTTTTATAAAAAATTATTGAAATCCCCGATTTTTCGGACCTCTGAAAACGAGGCGATGATGTGACGTCAAAACCCTAATACTGAAACAAGACTATTCCAGATAGAGATGAATGATACATGATTTCTGACAGAGTGAATAAGCGCGAGATCACAGTTGTAAGAATTAATATATCAGTTGCCTCAGTCTCTGTCGGGCGTTTGGTATTTTCTTTTAACTATGGCGAGATGAGGTTTATACGTCATAAGAGGGTCCGTTTTCAGAAGGTACTATCATTTATGTCCAAAAATAAAACATTCCAGTTAATTTTTCGATCGAATTATGTCGTCAATCATTATTTATGTATAAAAGGGTCATTATAAACATGGTTTGAGTTAAAAGTTCTACTAATAAATAAGTGGAAGTGATGGTAAAACTATAGGTCGAAGAACATTCAAACCACCTTGTATAAGACATGGATGAATTCATAATGAGATATCTACAACTTTTTTCCTGTGTATCATGAATAACAATTTTTTTCTTGAAATGTCGTAGCTGTTATTTATCAGAGAGCGTCTTTTTAATTTTGTTAACACTGATTAACGATGATTTGGATGGCCTGACACCGTCGTCACTTTATTTTGTTGTTGACTAGAATGTGATACACACAATCTCATGAGGAAGTATATAAAACATTGGAAATGATATGAATATAATATATGAATATATGTATTTTCCAAATTTGCGCCTAGACTATATCCCGTTCGACATTCTCGACAGAAAACTTTTTTAGATTAATAGAGAGTAGAAGATTTCACCCTGTACTGTGAAATTATGTTTTTTGTGTTCATCAACTATGATAGGTACACAGAAGAATATGAGGACGTTTAAAAACAATTAACGAACCGTCTCTCTCTTTGAAGAACAAAACAAAATTTCTTATTGAAATTTCTTGCTGAAATGAATTGCTTTCGAGAGGAATTCGCGAGCTAATTGTAATGTTTGATGTTTGATAAAAACATCCAACTTATTGAAAAGGCGTCTTTTTTATTTTGTCAACACTGACCTAACCTGACCTTACACCGTCGTTACATTTTGATTTTCAACTGGGATGTGATAACTACACTCAGTTCCAAAAAAAGTGACCCACTTCATATTTGACCAATCTGAAATAGTGGGCCGATTTTTATTTTTTTTATTTGTTGGTAGGTAATGCATTTGTCTTTAAAAAAAAATAAAGAGGTGAAAATTTTTTCAAAGCCTCCTTGATGGTGGTGAAATAACTCGAACAATGATTTATTCTTAATTTTTGACTCACCCTGTGTGTTGATTGAGTAATGGCATAGAAAGTGCTCACACCCTATACGAAAGATGCTTCTTTTGCGAGCATTTTGTTTTTTTATTCATTGATTTATCTCTAAAATTTTCCGAATTACAGCTTTTTTTGCTGAATCCTTGCAGATTACCAACTTTCTGAATTTATCGAGAAACAATTTTTTAATGAAATAAACTGATACCAATAATTTAAAAAAAACATTTTTATTAAACACAAAATTATAAATTGGGATGACTGCTTAATACCGTGTATTGCCTCCTCTAACAACTCTAAGAACTTCTAATCTACGAGGCATACTGGAAATTAAGTTGCTTATCGTTTCCATTGGTATACGATCCCATTCTTCCACTAATGCATCTGCCATTTCTGCGAGACTTTCCGGAGACCTCTCGCGAGAACGTAACCTTCTCCCTAATTCATCCCACAAATGTTCTATAGGATTCATATCGGGGCTTCTCGCAGGCCATTGTAATATGGTAATACCAGTAGCGTCTAAGAAGTTTCGAACTATTGCTGCGGTGGTCGGGCATTATCCTGCATCAATATAAAATTATTGCCCACTAACTCTTCATAAGGTATAAGACATACTGCTCTAAAATGTCAATGTAAATTTGGGCATTCATCGACTGCCTCACCGGAAATACATGAAGGGGTGTCTTTTCATTCATTGAAATCCCTCCCCACACCATAACAGACCCACCATTAAAACTTTCGCATTCTGTTATAAAATTTTGATTAAACCGTTCACCAGTTCTTCTCCACACTTTTTTTCTTCCATCCACCATGTTAAGGCAAAACCTTGACTCATCCGTAAACAAGACATTCGACCATTCAGGAATATTCCACTGTCCATAATTTTCAACAAAATTTCTTCTAGCAGCACGATGTTCGGGCAATAATTTGGGACCTTTTGCAGGTCTCCTAGCTTTCAGATTAACTTCTTTCAGACGTCTACATACTGTCTGCTTACTTATTGCAACATCACGAATTTGGCGAAGATCTTGCTGAACATTTACCGCAGTATTTGATCGATTCCGTAAAATCCGCAATCTCAAGAAGCGATCATCTCTTGAAGAAGTTTTTCGGGGGCGTCCAGAACCGACCCTCCGAGCGATTCTTCCTGTTTGTTCGTACTTGCGGATTGCTCTACGAGCAGTTGCTTCATGAACTCCCACTGCACGATCGGCGTAACGTTTACTACGCCCATCGTTTACTAACGCAACTAATCTTGCTACTTGTTCAGGATTTATTTGAGGCATTTTATGTAATTTTAGTCAATAAAACAAGACACTTAATTGATGACACAACGACAAATGGTCAAATATGGAGGCATACAACAAATTAGTTGCTACGGCAACGGCATTTGTTTTTTTTTAAGACAATGTGATCCTACCAGAGTACAACCCAATCAATTTTGAGTACTTTGATCCTTCAATAAATTCAATTTGTGGGATAAGCGTGAGGTATCAGCAAAAAAGCTGTAATTCGGAAAATTTCAGAGATAAATCAATGAATAAAAAAACAAAATGCTCGCAAAAGAAGCCTCTTTCGTATTGGTTGCAAGCACTTCGTATACCATTACTCAATTAACACACAGGGTGAGTCAAAAATTAAGAATAAATCATGGTTGGAGTTATTCCACCACCATCAAGGAGGCTTCGGAAAAATTTTCACCTCTTTATTTTTTTTAAAGACAAATGCATTACCTACCAACAAATAAAAAAAACGGCCTACTATTTTTTGTTTGGCGTTGAGTGTGTTTTTACTACCAAGGTAGTTTTCGTCATTTTATGAACCACTAGTCAATGAAGACATTGCCACCTCTGATATAATTTACCCAAATTCACTGTTCTGATGCGATATTCACAGGAATGGCACTCGCATCTAGTAGGTATTTGTACATGATAGGAGGAACCCATGATATTATAGTACATTCTTAACTTTTTCGAGCAAAAAGCATGTCCAAATATACTCCATACTCCATAACAAAATTGAAAACTAGCTAGTATTACATCAAATTAATATAACTTCATTCAGATTGTCCAAAATAGTTTGGAAATAATGACCGACCATAGAAGCTATTATTTTCGAGATAGGACCATACGCACACATTTTATTTTTGAGTTTTGATGTTTCCGAATTCTACAGGATATCAATAAAATTGCTCTGACGAATGCCACTGTATCCGAATATCTTTCCTCTCCCGATATGTATATATATTGGTCACTCTTTTTGGCCCCTATCGGCGACGCATAATATGAAAACTTATTGGATTTTCACCCCATTCCTGACTTTCCGATTCCATATTTCATCTTTTTATACGCCAGATTGCCGACCACATACCAAAATGAATACAAGTTATAGCGATCTACGAAAATCGTGATCGGAATTTGATGATTCAACAGGGCGTATCCGAAAATCTGGCTGTAATAGGGTTTATATTTTTATTATAACAACTGCCAAATGTTTAGAGATACATTGTATATCATTTTTTTTTCTGAAGCGCATTCCTACCATATAATATTTATCAACTACAGATCTTAGAAATATGTTCAGCAACTACTTGATGGAAATCACAAGATGTTACAAATAAACAAAAAATGAATACATATGCGTGAATCAATTATTATAAATTATGATTTTCTTACCTTCGACTGGTTTTTCTTCAAAGAGAAATACAGTGGGGAGAGAGAAGAGTATGCTGAGCATCCAGGCTAGCACTACTAGCATCCTTGCACGTTTCCCTCAAAAATGAAAAAGAAAATACATATATATCAATTTTCTACCATAAAAGATGCTAGAAAATGCCACAATATGATTTGAATTCACCTTATTGAGCAAGATTATCTGGCATTTCAAGCAAAATGATCTTGCTTCTTGAGCAAAATGAAAAAGATGCATACTGGCCCGCCAGCGTTTGCTCAAGAAATTAAACTTGCTGCTCAAGCAAGATGATCTTACTTTTTAGGCATGATGATATTGCTTCTTAGGCAAGGTGGTCTTCCTTGTCGAGCTAGATGATCTTGCTTCTCAAGCTAGATGATCTTGCTTATAAAGCTAGATGATCTCGCATATTCAACAGGATAATGGAGTTCGCTTATCAAGCAAGATTATCTGGCTCAAAAATAGGAAAAATCTTACTCCTGGCAAGTTGGTCTTGCTTCTTAGGCTAGATAACCTTCCTTGTCAAGCTAGATGATCTTGCTTTTCAAGGTAGATAATCTATTGCCCATCAAGCTAGATGCTCTCGCCTTATCAAGCAATATTATCTGGCTTTAAAATAAGAAAATATGCATACTGGCCCTCCAGCGCTTGCCCAAGAAATTAAACTTGCTACTCAAGCAAGATGATCTTACTTCTTATGCAAGATAATCTTGCTTCTAAGGAAAAAATGATCTTGCTTCTTAGGCCAGATGGATCTTGCTTTTCAAACATGATGATCTTGCTGCTCAAGCTAGATGATCTCGCCTATCAAGAATGATATTGGATCTCACTTATTAAGCAAGATGTTCTGGCTTCGCAAGCAAGATGATCTTACTTCTTATGCAAGATAATCTTGCTTCTAAGGAAAAACTGATCTTGCTTCTTAGGCCAGATGGATCCTGCTTTTTGAACATGATGATCTTGCTGCTCAAGCTAGATGATCTCGCCTATCAAGAATGATATTGGATCTCACTTATTAAGCAAGATGATCTGGCTTCGCAAGTTAGATGATCTTGCTTCTTGTGCAAAATGGAAAAGATGCATACTGGCCCGCCAGCGTTTGCCGAAGAAATTGAACTTGCTGCATAGGCAAGATATCTCACTTCTTATGCAAGATGATCTTGCTTCACAGGCAAGATACATTTCCTTGTCAAGCTAGATGATCTTGCTTCTTGAGCTGAATTATCTATTGCTCATCAAGCTAGATGATCTCGCCTTGTCAAGCAAGATTATCTGGCTTAAAAATAAAAAAAAGATGCATACTGGCCCTCCAGCGCTTGCCCAAGAAATTAAATTTGCTGCTTAAGCAAGATCATCTTGCTTCTTAGGCAAGATGATGATCTCGCTTCTTAAGCTAGATGATCTATTGCTCATCAAGCTAGATGATCTCGCCTATTCAGATGTATCTCGCTCCTCAAGCAAGATTATCTGGCTTAAAAATGAAAAAAGATGCATACTGGCCCTCCAGCATTTGCCCAAAAAATTAAACTTGCTGCTTGAGCAAGATGATCTTACTTCTTACGCAAGATGATCTTGCTTCTTAGGCAAGATAATCTCGCTTTTAAAGCAAGATGATCTTGCTGCTCAAGCTAGATGATCTCGCCTATCAAGGATGATAATGGATCTCACTTATTAAGCAAGATGAACTGGCTCCTCAAAATGATCTTGCTTCTTGAGCAAAATGAAAAAGATGCATACTCTCCTGCAAGCGTTCGCCCAAGAAATTAAACTTGTTGATTAAGCAAGATGATGTTACTTCTAATGCACGATGATCTTGCTTCTTAGGAAAGATAATGCTCTCGCCTTATCAAGCACGATTATCTGGATTAAAAATAAAAAAAGATGCATACTGGCCCTCCAGCGCTAGCCCAAGAAATTAAACTTGCTGCTTAAGCAAGATGATCTTGCTTCTTAGGCAAGATGATCTTGCTGCTCAAGCTAGATGCTCCCGCCTATCAAGGATGATAATGGATCTCACTTATTAAGCAAGATGAACTGGCTCCTCAAGCAAGATGATCTTGCTTCTTGAGAAAAATGGCATACTGGCCTGCAAACGTTCGCCCAAGAAATTAAACTTGTTGCTTGAGCAAGATGATGTTACTTCTAATGCACGATGATCTTGCTTCTTAAGCTAGATTATCTATTGCTCATCAAGCTAGATGCTCTCGCCTTATCAAGCACGATTATCTGGATTAAAAATGAGAAAAAAGATGCATACTGGCCCTCCAGCGCTTGCCCAAGAAATTAAACTTGCTGCTTGAGCAAGATGATCTTGCTTCTTAGGCAAGATGATCTTGCTGCTCAAGCTAGATGATCTCGCCTATCAAGGATGATAATGGATGTCACTTATTAAGCAAGATGAACTGGCTTCTCAAGCAAGATGATCTTGCTTCTTGAGCAAAATGAAAAAGATGCATACTCTCCTGCAAGCGTTCGCCCAAGAAATTAAACTTGTTGCTTAAGCAAGATGATGTTACTTCTAATGCACGATGATCTTGCTTCTTAGGTAAGATAATCTTCCTTGTCAAGCTAGATGATCTTGCTTCTGAAGCTAGATTATCTATTGCTCATCAAGCTAGATGCTCTCGCAAGCAAGATTATCTGGCTTAAAAATAAAAAAAATACGCATACTGGCCCTCCAGCGCTTGCCCAAGAAATTAAACTTGCTGCTTGAGCAAGATGATCTTGCTTCTTAGGCAAGATGATCTTGCTGCTCAAGCTGAATGATCTCGCCTATCAAGAATGATAATGGACCTCACTTATTGATCAACATGATCTGGCTCTTCAAGCAAGATTATCTTGCTACTTAAGAAACATGAGAATGATGTATACTGGCTCTTCAGCGATTTTGTGACTTACAACTTCCGGAGAAGTTCATTGGATGCGTAATGGCGTCGTATCTGTCTATGGAGAGAGCCACCAGGACGTAAGTCGACGAATAAGTTACTACGGCTTGCAGGAACCGTATCAACTTACACAGGGCGTTGCCTGCATGCCATGCCACAGTTATCCTCCATGCTATGTCGGTGGAGACGTTTATCAAACCCACAGACAAATCTGGAAAAAACAATACGAAATGTGTGACAGGGACACCCACCCTGTATATAGGGTTCATCACGTTACTCGATCATTAGAAGTGTTCGATAATTCCATTCCAAAAAAATTATGAACATCAATTATACAGGGTGTTTCAGACTTAAATGTACATACGTTATCTTGTTTTTGGCAAAATCATCATCTGGTCATAATTTTTGAACCACGTAGTATAATCTATTCATACTTGGTAGAAATATTTCTCTTATATTACACATCAAAACTAAATGGAAATTGAGATCAGAATCCAGGTCCGTATAAAGGAAAAACAGAAAACTTGTTTATTTCAGAAACAACACTCTGTATGGCAGAATTTTGTGGATCTGTTTTGATATTTGGAAAGAACAGGAAAAATCTGATTAAGCGTCCAATTTGACAGATGGTTTATTATTATGTTTAGAAATATTCACCCCATTTCTAAACATTTTTATTGAACTGTAATAATTCAAAATTCAATTTTAATACAAAGTTGAACGTCATTAGAAGCAAATTAGGAGAACTATTGATAGATTTACCGCAGCTCATGAATCAATAGAGAAGAATAAAACGAGCCCTCAAAAATTTCCAAAACCACAGACGTTATTCTGTCGAACGAACAGATCTATATCTATTTCACCCCAATGATGTTGAAGTTCGAAGAACGTTATTATTTTGTGAAACAATTGGATTTTGAATTACGAGTACAATGGAAATGACTCAAAATGGAGCCCAGTATATCAGAAAATAATAATAAAACATCTGTCAAATCGGATGCGCGGTCGTAAAAAGTAGGTCACGTCATTCGTTTTTCCCTGCTTTTTTCAAATATTGAAACAGATCTAAAAGCATTTGCCATACAGAGTGTTGTTTTTGATATAAAAGAAGTTTTCTGTTTTTCCTCAAGACTTACCTGAATTCTGATCTCGATTTTCATTCAGTTTTGATGGGTAATATAAGTGAAATAGTTCTACCAAGTATGGATAGATTATACAAAGTGGTTCAAAAGCTATGACCAGGTGATGATTTTGCCAAAATCAAGATATCGTTCTGTATCTCAGTTATAAGAAACGGTAGACACATCAAAGGGGGGTAATTGGGAACCATCGTATGTACATTTAAATCTGAAACACCCTGTATAAACAACCGATGTGAAATATCGTCAATCGGATACCTACTCATTTCAAATTAAACGCTCTGTATTTATATGTCATCATTGTCATTAGTTGTTTTGATTTTACCCTTTATTTGATCAAAAATGAAATCGATACATTGAGCTTGCAATGGTCGGTTACTCCCAATCTGAGAACGAATTTCAATTCCATTACGTTCGTTGGTAGGTTCATTTGAGTTTCCGGTTAAGTCATCCAAATGTCTTAATTTTCCTGTAACAGTCGTTCCACAAAATGAAGACTAGAGTTTTCAAATTATCCGTAATATCCGAGAAGCTTGTTTCTTGCAATGTCAGTGCTCTTTTACGATTTCCTGCATACGCCAAACTTCGGTAATTTGATTTTCCCTTCTTATATATATATCAGAGAAAATTTCATTTGTTTTATGGGTTAGCTTTCATTGTGTTTTTATGAGCCGCAATATCATCGGCCAGTTCTATCGGAATACCTAAATAAAGGAAAAGCCACACGATCTCCTTGATTCTATCCGTCTACGCAAGGTCTTCATAGAGACGAATAGTGATTTTTTCGAGAAATAAAAATACCGTACAGAGTGAGTCATAACTGTTGGGACATAGGCTAAAAGTGGACTTTCTGGACCAAAATATGGCGATAGGAGCGAATATGCATCAATGACATATTGTAAAAACTTCAAGTATAACGTCCGAGTCGATTCAAAACAATGAAATATTGCTGTGGAAAAATATAGATGGCGTACAATCCTACATGTTTTTTTTGGGATATCCAGGGCATATCTTGATGAGTTTTTTTTATGTTCTGGTTCCCATGGACAGGGATATCCTGTAATGTTCAGAGAACATCGTGAGAACCAAGGGAAATAAGGTAGGAATTGGTGTTCTCCTTAAATTTCTGGAGGTTATATGCCTCGGGGAGCACCTCCCTTGGCAATGTGTTGCAGAGCCTCGCTGTTCGTTGGATGAACGAGTCTTTGGAAAGAGATGTTCTGCAGGTCTCCAAAGTGACCACGAAGGGGTGCGAAGCCTCAACTCGACGGGTTAATCTCGCGGGGACTGCCAAGGGAGGAACGATTGTTGATATTTCAGAAGATCATCGTCCATGAAAATATCTATAAAATAGAGCCAGATCGCCAACTTTTCTACGGTGTTCCAGAGAAGCGAATTTGTGAGCGAGCCAATCAAATGAACAAATGAATTCTAAAATTATTTAATTTCCAAACACAAATTGGTGTGAAATTTTCATACCGAATACCACACGAGGTCAAATTACTTCCCGGGAATTTTTTCTCGCTCATGGATACAAGTGAAAATTGCTTTGTTGGTTGCCGGAAAAATAATGTACGCAAAACGCCTGAAAAATGTAGCATGAAGTAATAAAGTAACAATTCAGCGTCCTAGGGTGACAAATGAATAGCTATTGAAAGGAATTCCATTAGAATGTTCAAAATTTTCATATCATTCATGAGTAAATTATTGGAGAGAAAAACGTCAAACTCCCCCAGATCATAAAAACAATTATTTACTAAAATGTGGACTGTTTTTTAAGTGACTGGGAAGCCTATTGAAGTAAGAAACCCCAGCGATAAGAGGTGATTTTTCATAGTAATTGTGATTTGCTCTTCTGAGCAAAAAGTCATTTTTATTTCGCGTGTCATGCTTATGTATATCACTATTTTTTGTTAATTTATGTTGGATTCGATAAGTATTGCTCAGTAATTTCAATAGATAAATAGAAGTCACCGTTAGAATTTTCTTGTCTCTAAATATGTTGCGACACGAAGTTTGAAAAGGTAAATCAAATATAAATCGAACTATCCTTTTTTGCAATACGAACACTCTTTGAACTTCACGTCCTTGTCCCCAGACAATGATACTGTACGCAATTGCAGAGTATGCATATGAGTAATACACATTCAACAGAGTATCTCTATCTAACATGGATTTTAGGAATGTCAATAGGTAAAAGCATTGGTTGATTTTTTAGCATACAGCATTGATTTGCTCTCCCCATGAAAGGTTACTGTCGAATAAGGTTCCCAGAAACTCAACCGTTTTTGATTTTGCAATGACAGTATTGTTGCGTAGAGTAATATTCAATGCACGCCGTTTTTTTTATATTCATCATCAATCTATTTCGGTAGCACCAATCTTGAAATTGATTCAGTGTGTTGGCAAATTTTTCAGAGAGTGCAGTTTCATTACTGTCTGATATAATTGTGCATGTATCATCTGCATACATGAGAATTTTAGCGTCCGTCAGATAACTAGGAAGGTCATTATTAAATAATAAAAATATCAACGGGCCAAGAACACTGCCTTGAGGAGTTCCTAGCTCCATATTAAACTCATTTGAGAAGACATCATCAATTTTCACAATAATTTTTCGATTTTCCAGGAATGAGAGAAACCAGTCATTAATACAACCACGAATGCCAAGCTGATACAATTTTTCATAAACAAAATCTATCTCGGAGATTCTTGTTGATACTTACCGGCTATTGCTAGTTGCCGTATGAAGAAATTCATCCTCGATTTTCTACTTTTACTCACTACCAGGGCCACCAACACCGCTGAATTCCCAAGAACTATCATGGTGAATAAAACCCATAATATCGTGAATTGCTCAGCCTGAAAATCAAAAAAAAATGGAGAATAGTAAAAGATACCTTCAACAATTACTTCATATTTAATCACTCAGATTTCTCAATCTGAGGCAAAAGTGTTCAAAAAACCGAATTGGAGAGACCAAATCAACTTATAATATTGATTGTACATTAAATGTGAATCATGATTCATCGATTGACAGAAGTTTGGACGGATTCCATCCCTTGTAACATGAAATATATCGGGCAAACATGTCAAAGTAATGGCACAAGATTCAAAGAACATATTGCATTGTCGAGATGTATTAGTGATGGTGATGGTCAGTGTAAATCGGAAAATCTTCGGAGATTATTTTGTTCTTCCCAAAGTGTTACTCATTCTCTTTTATCTTCTACCACGGAGCAAAAACCATGAGCTCTGAGAGAATTTTATGATAATTTCATTCAGTTTGGGAAGAGATTTCCAGAGCTTAATGGACCGAAAGAGGCCACTGGTGCGGCAAGCTACTAACCGGTGCATTTCTATGTTGACGTACAGGGTGTCACAAGCAAAAACGGAGAGGGACAATTTCGTGTATGTTGGAATTGATATTTCGTTTCCCAAGTTGCTAATGATGAAATATTGCAGTAGGAAACCTGAAAATGTCTTTCAATTTCGTAAGATGATTATAACATAGAAGAGAAAACATTCCAATTCATTTTTCAGATTTCGGAAGCTCATTCTATTGTCTTCTGAATCATTAATTCAGAAAAGGAAAAATAATTAAGAATTAATATTTCACAGGGCGATGAATTACGAATGAAAATGTTACTTCTGGTTTTCTCATATTGTATCACGGAGATTGATGTTATGTCTCGAAATACTTTTCATTCAAATTGGTTGATTAAAATATTACGTTAATATGATTCTTTCTTGGTAAAATATAACAAATATAGTATGTTTATTCTCTACAACACTTCTTAAGAATATTTTCGCGGTTATGTGCCCCCTAGAAAATTAAATCCACTTGAGACTCACCCACTCATCAATACGGGGTGATTCTCAGAGTTTCATACAGACTTAAATTTGTATTTGTAATTGAACATGGTAATGTGTCTTAATTGTCTTTGATCGTATCTCAATCGTTTGAACGATCACTAATTTCTTCATAATCCTAAATATTGATGTAATTTTTGATTTGACTCGGCCGTTACTTGAATGAATTCTATGGCAAACAGAGTACAAAAATGTAATTTTCTATGTAAACTTTGGACTCGTTTCACGGACAAACGGTACATTCTGTTATATAAATGAATTGGGTCCAATCAACTTATTTTTGACCTGTGTTACACGTGGTGGCTCTGTGTCTCAGCAATTTTGGGACACCCTGTATAATTTTATTGCAAGTTATAATCTTACGAATTTGAGTGAAAATGTTTAGGTGTCATACTTCGATTGCGGAGCACTGTATTGAATTCTCTAAGGGAATTAAATAATTATGACCTTTTTATCTATCAGAAACAAATGCATATTCTCATTTATAGTTCTAGGCAGGTTATGAGGTTGAGTCCTTCTCACAGCTAACAAGGTTCAGTTCTGCTCAGAAACGAACTATCCTCAACTGATATTGGAGTCCGTCGCTCATTCACAGTGCCTTCGGTACGTTATCCTAGTTGATCGACCATTAACAGTGTCTTCGCGACATGTGCATTCAAATCCAACGTTATCATAGTCCTTCGCTCATTCACAGTGTCTCTGCGACATGATCATTCAAATCTACCGTTATTCGAATCCGTCGCTCATTCACAGTTCATCCACAAGATGTGCACTCAAATCCACCATTATCAGAGTCCTTCGCTCATTCACAGTGTCTCTGCGACATGATCATCGAAATCTACCGCTATTCGAGTCTGTCGCTCATTCACAGTTCCTCCACGAGATGGGCACTCAAATCCACCGTTGCCGAGTCGGTCTCTCATTGGCAGTGCCGTCGCTACACATGCATTCGAATCCACCGTTATCCTAGTTGGTCGCTCATTCACAGTGCCTCTGCGACATGTGCATTCAAATTCACCGTTATCAGAGTCCTTCGCTCATTCACAGGGTCTCTGCGACATGATCATTCAATTCTACCGCTATTCGAATCCGTCGCACATCCACAGTTCCTCCACGAGATGAGCACTCGAATCCACCGTTGCCGAGTCGGTCGCTCATTGGCAGTGCCGTCGCGACACATGCATTGGAATCCACCGTTATCCTAGTTGGTCGCTCATTCACAGTGTCTCTGCGACACAATCATTCAAACCTACCGCTATTAGTGTCCGTCGCTCATTCACAGTGTCTCCATCGCTGTTTATTGACAGTGTATCTATCTATCTACGGCTGTGGATACATATGTAGAATGAAACATCTCTATTTTGTCGGGGACTCAAACTCACGGCATTTGTTTTGATTTAGACATGAGTCGGAATGTTATAAAATAGCTGGCAGTAATAATTCATCTCTCGAACAAGTCTTTTTTCTTGTTTTCACATCAAACACGAAACCTTTCCAAAATAAATCAGCGTATCTTTATCGTATCAAAGTTGAATATTAGATTAATATCTGGAACGGCATCTCCATAATACTTTGTGAGTGTATCTCAGCGGGTTGATAAATCGAAAGATCCGGAGTATGAAATACGGAATCCGAGAACACTTGAGAAAATACGGGGAATGTGATGATTCACTTTGAGGTGGAATTTTATGGTCGGCTTGAAACAAAGGGATGATTAAGTGAGGACCTGTCGTTATCAGACAGGCTTTGTGGGTCGAGGATAGGGAAAAAACGAGTAATGATCCCGCAGGTGTAGTAGTGTTTGCTGAGATTATTCAACGAATTCTTGCAACGAGAGTTTTCAATTTGGAATGTATAATTTTATGTGATATCGTTAACTGGAATTTTATCGCTCAGTGTGACTCAGCTATAGGCAATGCCTCCACCTTTCTTATAGCAAAATACTGGGTGATTGACAAATATGTTACAGGTCTTCTCAATTTTCAGAAAGGCGGAACTCAGTATGCCTGTTATCCTGTTTCAGAATACTGTTCCTCCGTATGGGGTTCGGCACCCGAACATATGCTGATGTTCTCAGATACCATCTAGAAAAGAGTTATTCGCCTGATGGGTGAGAAAAAAATTACAAATTTCGTTGTGATAGGGTCTTTGGAATATTGTTCTTGGTAAGGGATCTAGAATTCGCACTGTTGCTATCGAGTCTTGAATTTTAAAGCACATAATCACATTTCTTGCAGAATCAGAAGAGAATTTTTGTTTATGGAAGTGGATGAAATCAATTTATTCGCAAAAAAATCGACTCACTCTGTATAGCCAGACAAACCTCTATGAAATTCATAACATCCGCGGAATGTGACATCTCTTTTTATTGACTGCTCAATAAAACTACTTCTTGTGGCTATACAATTTTAGAGCATAAAATCTAAATCTGGAATACTTTTGAAGTGCACTGAAGTGCACTAAAAAGAAGGAATTCTGAAAATATTATGAATCGATTTCCCAAGCAAATAACTTCGTTTTGGGGTATTAGGGGTTCCTGACTTTTGAGAATTATTTTGTTGCTTATCCTGAATTTTTTTATCATTGCATTTTCACTGAAAAAAAAAAACATTGTTATCTTTGGAAAAATTGGTAATAGTAATATCGAGAGTAATATAGTAAAATTGGTGCAGAGGAATTAGATCTGGAAAATAAGCTGGACCCTTCCAATGGAAATCGTACATTAAGAACGTGAAATTATCGAGAATCCCTCGTATTTGAGAATGCCTTACGATGAGAGATAGTGTCTGATAGATGGTAGAGAAAAAAAGAATCGCCAAATTGACCCTTCTATCTGATTTCTGCTTTGGCCCAAAGAATTAGGAGGTCCTTAAAATGGTCAATTCATGAAGAAACTGCTGAGAGATAAAAATCATAAGTAATCGACCGAATCGAATATACTCTGAAAGGCATTTTTCTCCACAATGGGTATGTTATGTGTATATATTTTTTATGTTCTGGTTCCCACGAAAAGGGATATCCTGTAATGTTCAGAGAACAACATGAGAACCAAGGAAAATGAGGTAGGAATTGGTGTTCTTCTTGAATTTCTGGAGGTTATATGCCTTGGGGAACACCTCCCTTGGCAATGTGCTCCAGAGCCTCGCTGTTCGATGGATGAACGAGTCTTTGGAAAGAGATGTTCTGCAGGTCTCCAAAGTGACCACGAAGAGGTGCGAAGCCTCAACTCGACGGGTTAATCTCGCGGGGACTGCCAAGGGAGGAACAATTGTTGATATTTCAGAGGAGCATCGTCCATGAAAATATCTATGGAAAAGAGCCAGATTGCCAACTTTTCTACAGTGTTCCAGAGAAGTGAGTGAGTTTGTGAGCGAGGCATCACCCACGAGACGAATTGCCCTTTTTTGGACAGAATCCAACAGTTTCAGGGTATGTTTGGGTGCTGCACTCCAAATATGGTAACAGTATTCCAGGACAGGTCGGATCTGTGCCATATAGATCATAAGCAGCTGACTGGAAGTGGAATAGCTCCTGACCCAAAACAGAAAACCAAGTTTTGATTTTCTCAAGAAAGGTTATTGCTGATAGTAATACCAACCATCGAAATGGATGTCTTCAAAGGTATGGTTACTCCTGACAAGCTTAGGTTGGGCACAGTGAGATCGGCTTTTCTAGAGAAAAGGCATGCTTGTGTGTTGTTTTCATTGAAATCTACCAAGTTATTGGATCTTCATTCGAGAATTGTTGCCAAGTCCATATTCATGTTGTCAACATTTCTTCCTCGTTCGTTTCTGATTTGCCTGGGTGGTATTGGAGCCCTGGAAGAGAAGGCGGTATGGAGGGTATTATCATTCGCGGAGCTGTGTACTGGACATGAAGTTGCTTCCAACAATTCGTTGATATGGAGTAGAAATAGTGTTGGTGCTAGAATCGATCCTTGCGGAACACCAGCATTTATGATAAGAGAGTCAGATGATGATGATCGAAGGAAAATT